GGTATGTGAAAGCCTGTGTCTCAAAATGATTAATGGAGTTTAATAATTTAACATCATTGCAATATTATTATTCTAGATCCTTTCGGAATTTTAAGTAATTCAAGAAACAGTTTGATAATGTTCATCCACTTATAGATATGTATTTCAAATCGATATATAGTTGCTAAGTAATATTACATCTACAAGACCAGAATAGCCACACTTATTAAACTGATTATGATTTAACTTATGTTCTTTGGGAATTCCTTTGGTAATACTTGAAGGGTAACTAAAGTAGGTCCATTCTCCATCTCTAGTACAGGTAATAGTCGTAGTTGGGATAGGAGTTGCCCACAGTGACGTTGCTCCATCCGAATTGATACCGAATCAGGGCGTCCACACCACCCACATCCACTCCCAGTCGCTGGAGTTCGGCCGTGATGACCTTGCCGGGGGGAGTGGCCAAAACCCTTTCGTAAACCGGACGCAAGGCCACCAGACGACGCCAAAGTTCGGACAGGAGAGGACTGCTTTGACTGGCACTGGGTTCCAACAGACTTCGAATGAGTTGCACTGGGTAGATCTGCACGAACTCTGACTGGAATCCGCGGATTCCGTTCACAATCTGCGACCAGTAGGCGTACTTATTGAAGATCTTGATCTCCAGTTCCAGGTAGTCGAAAATCTTGGGGGAACCACCGGACAGGATCAGCTGTTGGGTGGTCCATTGCTGCAGTTGTCGCACTTCGGGTTGGTTGGCTAACTGCCTATATAATCTAAAAGCCGGTACAGAGTTGATTGCCCTGATCAGACCCTGGAACTCGATATCATTGAGGAGGTAGGTCTGAATGAGTTTCTCGATCTGATCCTTTGGTATCTGACGAATCACTCCCCTTAGCTCCAGGGCAAAGTTGCTCTGGGGAACCAGGGTTCCATTTTGGTTATAAGGTCGGATGGGAGCCAAAAGAGCGGGCGTGGCACTTGGAAAGGCCGCCAGGCAAGTGAAAGCCAAAAGAGCACAACCGATGAACCGCATCCTGATCTGTTCAGGTGTGATATAATATAGAACTAGTGGAATATACCGATCCACTCTCCACTTTTATAGCAAAATGCGATCTCTGTTATCTTACTTTCTGTTTGTGGTTTAGCTTCCCCAGTGGACACTCTTATCGGAGACAGATTGCTTTACAATATCTGACGTGGTCCACACAGGTGGGAAACGAGGAGATCTGACAAGATAAAGGGAGTCTATTTACAACCCTTAGTCACTCGGGTTTGCTAAGCAGAAGCTCTTTAATACCATCACTGATTAATTTTAGTCCAAAATGAATTTGAATTTTTCTCACAGCCCTGGAAAGACAATCCTATATTTGATGATGATATTAATCGCAAAATATATTAAATCAATAACATAGACAAGAACGCAAATTTCATTCATACCTCAGAAAGACCAAGAAGCAATCAAAACAAAGCAATCTGATTTGCATATGAAAACAGCTTCTATTTAATTTAAGTAAATTCTAAAGAGATTTAAATGTGACGGTTCACGTACTTGAGATAAGGGGCTAAAAAAAATATCAAACAAGTTATTTTAACTATTCAAGCCAGACGACTTCACAGTCAATAAATCGCGTTAGTCTCACCTGGCGAAATTCGGTCAAGTTGGACATCTTTTTATATGCTTATCCGACATATGAATAGTCAAGAAAGTGACAGTGCAGATAAGGAAAAGCCTGAATTTCTACACAAACAGAATTCCACAATTGCCAAAGCAAAAGTAAGCAAATAAATCAAAAGTAATGATGTCACTTTTAAAAATATATGGAAAACAAGTGATATCAATTAATGATAAATAGCAATTCAAATATAATTATTAACCTAATCATCATAAAGGCCTTGGAAAGATATCTGGTGCTATAATAAAACATACATATTTTGTTCCTCTTTGGATTAAAAGCTTTTTGATCTGAATCATTTCTGATTGAAAAGGTTATGACAAAGGGAAAAATGATATCCGACTGTCCGTTGAATACATCAAAGCCAAAGGGTATCGACAATCTCCAACTGAGATCTCCAAGGCAACATTTCAAGGACTCCCTTCGGTCAAGTGCAGTCCTTTGGATTTTGGGAGAAAAACAAACAGCCGGGCATGTAAATGGACAGATGTGTGTGGGTAATTAGTTAGTTAGTCACCTTCACCCGATCGCATATCCGGTCCAGCGACATTAGTTCCACTCGAGGAGAGTCCTGCAGGAATGTTACATGCACGATAATTAGGATTGGCCAGGAAACGCCTCTTCTTCGCTGCCCGAAAAAAAGAAACAAAGGCCCAAATTCCAATTGAGCAGGAAACTCTGACAGATTTGCTGTATAATTTGGAAATTATCAAAACTTTCTAGGGAGTCTGCGGAACCGTAGAATCCAGAGAGATGCAGAGCGAAGCCACCCCAAAAAATAAAGGAACTGGGCGGATAGGGAGATTCAGGGTGATTTCGGTTAGGGGGTTGGTTTTAGTACGACCGAGCATAAGTATTTCGTTGGCCAGGGGCGATCGCATGTTTGGTTATCGGAATTGTGAGGGGAGTTGGGCTGGCAGCTGCAAAAAATAAATATGTACCCCCTTGCAGTGCTTGATAAATCATGTGTAAAGGTATTTGTACAAAAGTTTTTTTGGATTTACAGTTTCTATCTTGTATGTTCGATTGGCGGCAGCTGCAACTGCAAATCCTGATGCTGCCGGCGGAAAAATGGAAAAGTGCAAGAGCGGAAAAGCCAGTGTTGCCATGGAAAGTGTGTTAAAAACAAAAAACGATTGCCGACAGGACGAAGAAAATATTTCGTTTTTAATTGATTTGGCAGGCTTCAATTTAACGCTTCGCTGCCACTTCCTCTTTTGCATGCGAGTCCTGCACGTGTCCTTTTTAGTTTTCTATAAATTTCAATATTTTTTACATGTGCATACATGTTGTGTAAAATGCAAGAGTGGGCACTTCCGCCTTATGACATGCCAATGAGTCAGAGTCCTGGAACTGGAGGTCCTTTAGCTACAGGTATGTCTTGGGCTTATTCCTTTGCCTCAGAACCCCTCCCCTTTTTGGCACGCGTCAGAAACCGAAAAAGGGCGAGAAGTCAGTGGATAATTTTTAGGGGTTGCTCATCGGGTTTTTCTTATAAGAAGCATTCCTTGGCCGGAAGAACCAAAGCAACACGTTCAAGACATTGTTGAGTCACCACTGAAATTATTATTACCCCCGAAGACGTCTCTCCAATCCACACATTACCCCTGTGTGCCGGCATTTATTCCATTCAAGAAGGACCTGGGGAACGAGCCTTCAGGATCAGCGTTCTTATCGGAGGCGCCTCCTTCGGGGCTTGTCCTTTTAGGGTCCTTTTACTCATTCATTCCCTCACTTAATTGAGATATGGAGGAGAGGAAAAGGAGGACGACAAACCAGAACGAGCCCATAAAAGGGGCAATTCCTTTTGCCAGCCAAGTGCCAATTGTAGGTTTCACTTTAGGCTACAAATTGAAACGCCCCTTGCCAGGACTTCTTTTTTCCTCGTCCTTTTTGCCCCTTTGTTTACCTTTTCTCGGTCTGTCTCGGGCTTCCCTTGAAAAGAAGCCATTAAATTGATTATAAGACATTGTTGAAATGTGTAAACTGTTCCGTCTCAGACTTTCGGTCACCGAGGGAAGTCCCAGTCCCAGTCCACTTTTTGTCTCCGTTTCTCCGTCTGATTCCCATTTCTCACTTTCTCAGTTTCTCCCTATAAGTATGTGGGTATTTCTGAGGGCGTGGCACATTTGACTGAAGTCGAAGCTGAGGAATTCAACTAATTAGAGGGGCAGAACGAGAGTTACTCACAAGAAATAGGTGTTGAGGGACCATTTGGGTAGGTAATGGGTTCACCTCGAGGGGTTAATGAAGGTAACGGAGTCACTGCTGGTTTATTGAGGAAAAAGGTGTGTCTGATGTGGTTGCCAAGGAGTTCCCCCCAAAGAAGTCAGCTGAAACCACAGCTTACGGGGTATTGTTCACGGGGTTAATGCTCGGAAATGACTCAAGGTGTCAATAAAGATTGTTGTAAGGGATTTTTGAAATAATACTAATGGGCTAAAGGTAAGAATAAAGGAACAAAGCTGTTCTTAAAAAAGGTGTGAAAAAGATTGTTGTAAGGGACTTTTGAAATAATACTAATGGGCTAGGGTACACATAAAGGAGCCAACCTATTTGCATAGAATGGTGTAAGTAATCTTTTCCAGTTGAATTTTTGAATTGATTCATTATTTTAATTAAAAGCGCTAATAAAAATCTATAAAATTACCAAGTGATTACGTATGTATGCTATAAGTACTATTTAATAAGGTGAGAATCAAAGGAGGTGTGTTAAAACTATCAACTTAAGCACACCCCATCCAAAAATTATATTTTCAAAGCTAAACAATCAGACACATCTAAAATCAAATGCAAGTTCCAACCTAATTCTACACAAAGGTCCAATGACTTCCCCGCCTCCATATCCTGTTTAGCTGGAAAAGTCAGCAGCTGCCGTAGCCGAACCTTTATCGCAATCACTGATAGGAGTAACAGCCCAGAAATCTGTAGGGAGCCCTTTTACGGCCCGTTAACCAGGACACGTGCGCCGCTGCATTAGCATATATCTACATATAGGGAAAATGGAAGAGGTATAGGAGCTACATAGAGAAAGCTCCCTCAACAAAAACCGATGCAAATGTGCGACTATTAGGGGAAACAAAGCACACAGCGCAGGCGCAACTGGGGTTTGAAGTTCCTGATACTGAAACTGGGTTGGGCACGTTCCAAAGGTCTTTCGAATAGGACCACCACCCCTGGCTTAGATAACTACACACAGGCAGACTGGCGTACCAGCTGCCTTGCCAAAAACACTGGAACTCGTTTATCCTTATCCAAAAAAATTCACTCGCGTGCCGTCAGTCCGGTTTTAACTCCCCTTCGAGCTCATTTCGTTGCTCATAAATAACAATGCAATGATCCCCAGGTATTTTTCACGTGTTTGGCACGTTTCACTCGATTTTCCGGTTCTCGATTCCCTCGATTCTCTCCACTAATCCCCCCGTGGAAAGAGGGCACGCGTCCCCTTTGATAAATTGTGCTTTAAAGCGCAGGGTTCCAGGGGTCCATGGTTTCCGGATTCTGTTTCTGGAGCAAACGCCTTTGACAAATGGCCAAAACAACTCCGCAGGACAGGCCACTGTCGAGAAGAAGACGAACCATTGTCTGCCTTATTGCCGGAATAAATCTTCATCGCCTGCCGGCTCCTGGTTTATTTATCAAGGTGTAGCAATTACATTAAGACAAGTCAGCCGTGGTTATCGGACACGACCTGGGACCAATATCGCAGCTGGGCATGCATGGCCCGGAAGTCCAGGCGGGGCGGCAGCTTCAGCGGGCTCATCGGGTAGCCAAAAACACTTAGGCGGTGCAGGAAGAACTCCCAGAGGTCAAAGGCACTCTCATTGGCCGGGTGGAAGGAGATCAGGGAACTGGAGCAGCAGGCGCGGGACTGGAACAGAAGAAATAATTGAAAGTTCTGCGGTAAATTTACAAAAAAACCTTTTTACTTCTTTAATGTTTTTAAACAGTTAACTAGTTAGTTAATAATATAATATATTAACTCAGATGGCGTCTTTGCTCACTAAAATAATCTTACCGTTGGGTTAAAGTACAGCGAACCCGAGTACTTTCTCCACCTAGTCCATCCCGGTCCAATCTGTTGCGGCATTACTGGGAGAAAGCGTTCCTGCCCGAGGCCATCGCGAGACTCTCCTGCAATCACTCCTACAGTATTCAGACACAGACCCATTCCCGAATCCTCCGATTTCAGAGAAGAATTCAAGTCAAGGCTGCATAAATTGGAGTCCTTAAAGGCAAATAGATTCAGGCGCCGTAGAGCTCCTCTGCTAAGGACATATCCAGCATCACCGGACATATATCCTTGGGCAAAGTCCGCTTTTAGACGGTGGCCAAAGTATATCGAAGATTCCGGATCGTAGCGGTAGAGAAAGCGTCGTAAGTTCTCCATTATCACAAAGCTGCAGTACGGATCCGTAATTGTGAAAAAGAATATGCTTAAATGTACCACTAAACTTACGTATCTGTATCTGCCCGAAGAAACCAATCGTGTCCGTTAAAGTGTTTCTCAAATATGTTTTTAAATCCCTGTCGAACGGTGGCAAAGGTGTTATTCTCTTTTTTCTTCCTCCAAAAAATAAGCTTATTGCATCGCCTTCCCCATGTAGATTTCACCTTGGCCTCATTTTTATCATAGTCCAAGGGATCTGTTAAAACCATACATAGGACACGTGTGCGATTGAAGAGTCCTACAGCTTGACTGCCTGCTTTCGGACTTTTCCTTTCCAAAATGGTCGTTTGCAAATAGCTGTAGTTCCAGTACTCAGTCACCTGGATGCCTATAATGAGGCCCAGTACCAGACCCACTGCATCGCGAGTCATCGGAGCAGTGCCACCCTACTGACTCGAGAAGACAGCTTCAAAAGCTCTCAACATGCGGAGAAAATCAATTACCCAGTTCTTTATATAAACAAAAGGGGGGAATATCTCAATAGTTACGTACAGTGGTCCGGTTTAGCACTTTCCCAAAAAAAGGTGTTTATATTTATTGGTACATTACAGTACAAAGTTGAATAATAAACAGTAAAGTACATTTTAAAGAAAGTAAGCAGTTCTGTTCATCTTATAGTACAATAATCTTCAAAGTTTCACTAACTTGGCGACCAAATTCATGGCCTAAAAAAAGCTATTTATGTTTAATACTTTAATTCTAACTATTCAGCTTATCGTTTAGCAATATTGACAGGATTGTCTTTAGTTATCCTTTGTTGTCGCTGACTTGGTGAGACCAATGCTGCAGTCGCTCGTTCATCTGCCGGAATCCCAGGCGCGATGGAAGAGCTCTTTGCGGCCTGTGCAATCCAAACACTCTCAAATAGTACAGAAAGAATTCGAAGAACTCAAACTCGATGTCATTGACATAATGAAAGGATATGGCTGAGGGAGAGCAGCAATCGCTTCTCTTAAAGGAAAAATACATAAATTTGAGATTACAAAAGGTAAGGGTAAATATTTTTTCAAATGCAAATCTCACATTTGGTTTGTAGAAAAAGTAGCCGTCAGTCCATGAACCGATAGCAATGAAAGGGATCACGTTAAATGGGCTGATGGGCAGAAAGCGATGGTGTCCCTGAAAGTCCCGTGTATCGCCAGCTATAACACCCACATCCTGCAAGCAGTGGCCGATCTGGAGGTCCTCGGAATCCCCGTTCAATTTGCAGGTGGTGGTGCTGTTCAAGGCGAACAAATTCAGACGCCGAAGGGCATCTCGGCTGAGCACATAGCCTCCGCCACCGGACATGTAGCCGTGGGAGAACCACGATTTGAAGCGGCAGCCAAAGTACACAGACGATTCCGGATCGTAGGGATATAGGAAGAGACGCAGATTTTCCATTACAATATAACTGCAAGAATGAATTATTTATATTTTACTGCTTAACATGTTTCTTAACTTACGTATCGTCATCGGCCTTCAGGAACCAGTCGTACTCGTTTAGGTAATGCTTGTGCACATGGGCCATTCCTGTGCGAACCTTGGCGTATAGGTTCTGCCGGGACTCGGACATGTTCATCTTGAGAATATTCAGATGGGGATCTGCCCGGGTGCTCATAAAGATCAGCTTATTGCAGCGGGCTCCCCACGTGCGGTTCACCCGAGCCGCCTTTGTGCTGTGCGAAGATGGCATGGTGAGCACCAGGCAGAGTATTCGCACCTCCCTCGTCAGCCAGAAAGCCAAGTGCTCCTCCGAGGCAACCGGATACTTCAGCAGCGCCGCCTTTTCACTCGCCCGCAAGTCGTTGTCCCTCCACAGCTTCAGGTAGCCCATGAAATCCGTGACTCGAACGCCTAACATGATGCCTAATACTAGGAAGATGGTATTCCGAAGCATTGCCAGGATCATTTCACACTGATACAATAGTAATATTTAAGTAGGGAAGATCCCACGCTGTGTCTAATTGGCGCATCAAATTCATTATTATTCCATTAGGAAGTCCATGACTGAATCCGAATTTTTCTAAGTTTCATTCTGCACACAATTTTCTTTCTTCCACATGTATCATATATATTTAATTCACAACTAGTAAAACATTTAGCAATCAACAAGCGCAGCAAAAATAGCAAAGAGATAGTGAATACAATAGTCGCATACAGATTAAAGGAGCTAAGTAAAACTAAATTAATAAAATATGGCTTTTAAAATTATACAGATAGTTGCCTACTCTAAGCTATCAAATTCTAAAACTGTTTCTATTGGACTATGTGTTTACTGCTAGAATGAGTCTTAAATATCTCCTACTGGTATAGGAATGTTCTGTTAATCTTAGTTTAGCCAGGCGTTAGGATTGGTGCTGTTTTCGTGGGACCAGTGATAAAGCTGGTTCTGCAGTTGTTTGGGATCCAGTCTGGGAGGCAGCGACCTCTGGGATAAGGGGGTTCCAAAAACGCGCAGTCTATAAAGCAGAAACTCATACATTTCGAACTCGTGGTTCTTGACATAGTGAAAGCTAATCCCCGAGGTCGAACCAGTTTCATTGGCCTGAAATGAACAGGAATATTAATACAAATATTATTTTGAATCTCTCGTACTTACTGGCTCATAAAAGGTCAGTTTGATAAGCCAGTTGGTGGTGGGAAATTTAGGCAGCATAAATTTGAGGGACATGGGCAGAAATCGCTCCCGACCTTCCTCATCGCGGGAGTCCCCAGCCACCACGCCCACATTCTGCAGACAGAAGCCAATCTGTCTGTCCTCTGACAAGTTGTTAATCGGACAGAACTGGCTGTTGTTGAAGGCAAAGAGGTTGAGCCGACGCAGGGCATCCCGACTCATCACGTAGCCAGCTCCTCCGGACATGTAGCCCTGTGGATAGGTGGTCCGGAATCTGTGGCCGAAGTAGAGAGCTGCCTCGGGATCGTAGGGATAGAGCAGGAACCGCAGGTTTTCCATTATCACAAAGCTGAAGGGACAGGGAGTTAGGTACTTAATATTTCTACTAATAATACTTACGTGTCATCGTCTGCCTTGAGGAACCAGTCGTAGTCCTCTACATAGTTCTGGTACACATACTCCAGGGCCTTCCTCATCTTCAGGTACAGATTGTTTCGGTCCTCGGGGACGCCCACATCGATGGCGCCCAGTTCACTATCTTCTTGGCTGCTGATGAAGACCAGCTTGTTGCAGCGCCTGCCCCACGTGGCCCTCACCCTCTTGACCCTCGACTGGTGGTTCTTCGGCATGGTCAGCACCATGCAGAGCACCCGTGTCTCGTTGTATAGCCAGCGGGCCAGCTCCTCCTCCGTCGGCTGCTGGGGCGTGGCCTCATCCTCGAGCTGCGTTATAGCCGTGCTGCCAAAGTACGTTTCGGTCAGCTGCAGATACTCGAAGAAATCCGTCAGCCGAATGCCGATGATGAGACCCAGGGCCAGGCAGAGTACGTTGCGATACATTGCGGGTGTGTTCCAGGCAGCAAATAACCAGCACACCAGCTGGCATTTGGCGATTCTCCGGGACTGGGGGACTGGAGGGCAGCGGGGTGGATATCTCACAAAATGAGCCGGGGGCACAGCGAATGCATTTCTCGGTGTCGCTCATCGCCGCCAGCTGATCGACTACTGCTCGGTGGGCTCCATTCGCAAACAGCTTAAAGAGTCTCCCCCAACAGAGAAAGAAATTGGTAATAAAAGCCACTGAAAAAAATGTATTGTATATTAAAAATATTAATTCAATGAAATTATAAATTAAAACTTTAAGCAAACGTAGATATCAAACAAAATTCATAAATATATTTTTTATTTTGTGAAAATAAATTAAGTAAACTCAAAATTGTAAGGAACAATTAAATCTTTAATGTTCGTAGACAACAATTGAAGTATTTTATATTTTTTAGTAAAATATTTTTAAAATTAAAGTAAAAAAATTTAAAGTTTGGTCTTTTGAGAAATTATTATCATTTTGATCATTAATCATAAGGGGCACTTCCGACAAAAACTCATTAGATGTTTAGGTGTATGATCAAAAACCATCAGTCAAAATCATATCTTAAACATTAAAATATGCGGAAACAATTTGTTTGCTTAATTGCTTGTTTGTTTAATTAATAAATTACCTTTTATTTCGGGTGGGATTTCTTTTAAGTGCACTTCTCTTGGTCCGGCTGAAACAAGTTTTCGAGTTTGGCTTGTGATTGGCATTTGTAATGAGTCACACGTGGTGCGTCGTCTTCGCTCTTGTGTCGTTCGTAGCATTTGCAGCCAATCTTTCAAAGAGTCAACAATAGGAAATCAAAAAAAACCTTCGTTGGTCCAAAGCCGATGCCATTTATCGGCCAACTAGCCGCCGAATGGATTCCCTTTCCCTTTTCTTGAGCCAATATCATCCAGAGCCAGCTATTTTTGGGGCCAACCGGTTTGGAGCCTCCTCTTGACCCACTCTGGCTCAAATTAGCGCCTCTCGCCCACTGTAATCCATTTTAATCCATCGATCTGGACCGAACCGCTTTGCTTGTGGCAATGAAATCACTCGTTTTATTTTATTGCTAGATAATGTTTCATTTCATTTCGTTTGTTTATGTTTTAGCTTTCCATGGTACAATATTATCCGTTTGTTATATTTACTTAGTACAACTGAATTCGCTTTAGTTTGTAGATTTACTTTAGCATGGTTTCTTTAGACTAAATGTGGACTAATTATTTCGCATCAGTTTGTCTTGTTAATCATTTCGCCTGTTTAAACATCTAGTTTCTTGTTATTCTTTTCGCTTTTTGGCCAATGCTTCTCTTCCACCTCCACTGTGGCCTTAGAAAACTTGGTTACAAAACGTTAATATTAGTTTGTCTGCTGGCTAAACGTACTTAGAGCTGCTCTATTATTCCGATTCCTCCCCGATTACATGCTAATCCTCGTTATACGTTTAGTAAGTGCACTTGCCAATTTCTGTTTATCGGAGGAGCCTCTGGCCGGAGGCCTCAAAATTAGGATAAGGTTGCGAAATAAACAAAAATTGTCCGGCAAACTCAGTTACATCGATCGGGATCGGGGGCAATAAAGATCCCTCTCCACACCTGGCCATACGCAAAAAGTGTTAGTACTTATGCTTAGTTAGTTACACAGCCTTAGAAACTACTTAAGAACTAAAACATACATAAACGGGGACAACAAAATGTCAAAAGGATGTTACAAAAATTATCAAAAGATACGAAGAAAAATCGTGTTTGGTTATACAAAAAATAGGACATGAGGACAGTGCGTTTTAAGACCATTAGGCAGTTAGAGGCTTACAAAAAATAAAAGTTACATGGTTACATATGAAATAAATTCAGTTTTCGATTCCGTTTTCTAAATAGCTTTAAAACACACTCTCCGGACTGGACATAACGATAAGTGCTGGTATAATTGGTAAAATAGTTTTAAAATAAGGATAAACAATTTTGGAGTATTCCATAAATTATATAACAATTATGACAAAAAAAATAATATTTGCATATAAGCGATAATGTTACAATTTACGTCTTTAGTTGTATTATTAATCCTACATGTTTCTTCCGTTTATGTTTGACATTCTAATTTCGCTTGCAAAAATATATGTTAATGGTAATTCAACTTCTTTCAATCTTTTCATTCTTGTTTGCTTTGCTTCGGTTTTGTATAAATTGGATTTATAAATTTATATGTATTGTATGTTTGTTTGTTTTTATTTTAATGTTACTGTTTATGATTTTAGCTTGGCTTTAGACTACATATATCAGTATTAATATTATTGTTTTTCAATATTCCTTTGCTTCAACATTTCGTTACGATTTATAGATGTATCGATTTTGTATTATTTTTTTTTTTTGCTTTTTTTGTAGTTTTAGGAACCTATTTGTAACTAGCAAAACGCAGACGCGCACAAGTTTCTATAAAAATGTTTTCCTATAATTTGGCTTACAATTAGTTCATATTTGTATAACATCAAAATATATATATGTAGATTTATATTTATGGTTTCGCTTTTGTGTCCTATTCATAATAAACCCCATATATGTCAATGCATTCCTCTAGTATACGATTAGCTTAAGAATATTTCTAGATTTCCGCTTGTCCCCTCACCAGTAAAGTCCTGGTACTTAAGCAGACTACTAAATTGCAATCCATTTGAGAACGAGCACTTTTTCTGTGGGAGCAGCACTCATATCAATGATCGATCTATGAAGATTTCTAAAATTTTCAAACTCCCAAAAGTCAAAGCACGGTTGTCTAAAAGTATGCAATGAAAATTTTTTTTTTTGAGTCCGAAAGTTCCAATTAGATGATTGGATTGGTTATTAACCGTACATATATATTCCATTCATGTTCAGACGCTGACTATACAAAGCATTGACAAGTTAATAGCTTTCCTTACTCAAATTCCATTTTTTTTAAATTTTTAGATGTTTTAACATTGGCACGATATCTATAAATAATATATATGCGTTCATATAGCCTAAGAAAATATATATTGGTGTATACGTTTGTTAGATAGCTATCAACTAGTATGATTGATTAGTTTTAGTTCTGATCCGGTTACATACAAATATTTTTCCCTTTCAAATCTTTCGTTTCAACCCCAACACAATTCTCTAACATGACGTACAGACTAATGCTCTAGACCTAGAAAAAGTAAGTTATGAAGAACTTGAATATCATGAAGGCAAACAACGAATCCAAGCCAGGGGCAATCCCAAAAAAGTTTCACTAACTATGAATAACAAGTTCCGTATAATATATGAATCTGCCTGCCTAACTGATTGCGTGTAAAACTAAACAACATATAAAATAAATTACAAAATGAACGCGATTATAACTTATTTAGCTGCTTATAAACATGTACGAAATAATGCAATGCACAGTTGTGGTCTGAGTAATAGCCTTAAAGAATATATTTTCAGCTCTTTATATTTCATTTTATTTAACATATTGGCCGCTGATTGTGTAAAAATTGCCACCTTCGACCTGAGCAAAAAACATTTTAGAAAAAGAAGATCCTACCCGACCTGCGTCTTAAAGACCATACTCAAAGTAACTCAATTTGGCTTGATGATTTTGAGATTTTGCGGCTATTACTGCGACCACCACTGTCTGTATTTACTCTTTGTGTCGAAAAGACCTTGGTTCTAAATGTATATTTCTTTAAAGCATATTCAAAGCATTCGATATATTGTTGCTGGGTTGGTTTGTTTAAATGCATGCAGCATGCCGCGAAACTGATCAACTACAATATATGATTATTTGTGTATATTTACAGCTCTAAGCGTTTGTCATAACATATCGAGAAAATTCTAGTATATTTGGGGATGTGTTCCTAACACTCACTACGATTAACGGCTGGGAGAGCTTTTTGTGCCACAGATAAATGGGGGAGTTTCATTTCGCTGGAGGAGTTTGTAGATTTAGCACTATGTTATATGGTAATTTACTCGCTGTTTAGTTTACAGAGCCCTTCGATCCTCCCACTCTTTGTACAATGCATTCGTTCCAACGAGTTTTGTTGCTGCTTATGCTATTTTTCTGCCCGATCTTAATTCTAGTCTAGCTTAGAGCTAATTTCCATCCTCACACAATCGCACTCTGGCACACGGACATGCGCTTTGGACTTTGGGCTTAAATATATACCGCTCGAATATATCTAATTGTTAATTGGTATACGTATGCATATAAAACCAAACTCTCAAACTCGCACTCTCGCTAACACGCACTGACACATAAGATTAGATGTAGTATATCGCTAGCACTTAAAGTTCTGATGCATTTTTACAACAGCGCCTTCGTCGCGGTCGCCCTTCACTTGTTGTCCCCGGCATTCGATGAGGAGGAGCTGCTTCCCACCACTCCACTCGATCCTCCGCCGTTGGCGGTCTGTTGCTGGGACTGCTGCTGCTGCGGCGGCAGGGTGTCGGAGCGGCGGTAGTACAGAAGGTAAGGCACCCGCGGGGTGTGCGGCTGGAGGACGTGCTTCTCGCTGACCGGCTTCACCGAGCTGTCGTCGTAGCGCAACCAGCTGCTGTAGCCCGTGTGGAACACGTCCGTGATGTAGTGGCCCTTGGAGGCCTCCTTTCCATCGTGATACACCACCGCAAACAGGCGATAGGCGCGTTGCTTCTGCGACGTCTTTTTCGAGCCGAGGATTTCTGCAACAAATAGGTTTACTAATAGAGATACGGAATCGGGGATTTCGTTGCAACATACTGGCATCGATCTTCAGTTCCACGGGGAACTCCACCTTCTTCAAGATCTTTGTGCACCCATCGGACCGGTAGTCAAAGTATTTTAAATGCAATATCAGGACGACAGGTAGTTTCTCCAGCGTCATCTGCTGCCAGGCCACCACCTCCTGCTTGGTCTTGCTGCCGGTGACTCCCTCCAGCTGGTCCCGACCCACCAGGATTTCTAGTGCTTCCTTCACAGATGCAGCTTTCTGTAAAGAAAATATAATCAGGATTTAATGCAAGTCATTCAAATGGGCATATAACTTAAAATAGTATTTATTATTGTTTGTGCCCACTGTTGAAGAGAAAACCATTTCAATTAGAAAATCTATAATGCAAAGCGGAGCACGTGCACCAACACCAACGTCTAGTGACTGTCGCCAGAACGGAGACAACCGCCAAAAGTAGGCGAGGCTGGTGGAACGAACGTAACACAGACGCCGGCTGGGCAATGGTGCCGAAGTGTCTGTTGACTTGTCTGTGGCTGGGCCTTGAATGGTTTAATACCGATAAAAATGATGACGAAGGCGAAAGGCCGTCTCAAACTAAATATAGTAGCTCTTCAATACTAACAAACTAAGAGGACTGAAAAATATGGTCCCTTATGGTACGTTGGATTTTATTAAAATTATCTAATATATATATATATCATCTCTCATAATCTCACTCACTTCGATGTTCAATTGAAGAGTAAAGAAGGGCTGGATCACATCCGTGGAGTGCTCTCCCTCGCGTTGCAGCCGGGAACGCAGTTCTCCCCGGAAGATCTCGCTTATGGGCGTGCGTCCAAAGTCAGTTTGGCGGGTGACACTGCCCTTGTTGCGGTTGTTGCAAATCATCTGATGGGGAAAACAAGCAATTAACTGAAATTACATCACATTAACAGCAATTAACTTACCTGCCAGACGTCGCCGCCGTCTTCTGGCTCCGCCGGCTCCTGGCCATTTTGCTGGGTTGTGGGTTTGTCGATTAGTTTAATGACCTGAAAAAAAAGCGAAACCAAGCATAAGTAAAATGTAAGTCCCAATATGTTTGTGCACTCACCTCCAGCATCTCATCGTTGAGCTTGTTGAGCACGTAGCCCAGGAACTCTTCGGCATCCTCCTGGCGACCCTCGACATGCTCCTCGCGACTGTCGTTCCACAGCTTGTAGATCTCCGTGGGCTCAAAGGCCATGTCGCACTGCAAATCGGAGCCAACAAACTCGTCCTTGCCCTTGCTTTGCGATCCCTTGTTGAGGTTGTTCAGGCGCAGGCGCAGGCCGCTAGGCAGCGATGAAAAGTTGGTCATAAAGGACATCCTGTGGGGTGTGAGTACGGATTTGTAATTTGAGTAAGGATCTTGCTTGGAACTAGCATGGTAACAAGTAAAAAAAATTATTTAAAAATGTTTGTGCCGCTTCGGCGGAGGAATTGCATTAAAAGTTAGATCCTCTGCAAAAACTGGAGCACGTGCACAAACCCCAACGCTTAGCAGCTACAGCCAGAACGGAGGTAACCAAAAAACGTAGGCGGGGCCCGTGCCATTTTATCTTCCACGAACGTAACACAGACGACGGCTAGCAATGCCGAAGTGTCTGTTGACTTGCCTGTGGCTTGGTTTCTCAAAGGCACTTCGATTCCAAACTTACATGGCGTTCACAGTGGGGGTTTTGACCTCGCTCAGGACAGCCGCCTGCTTGGGAATGGAGCGCAGCAGGTTGTAGAACGGCGAGCAGCCGAGCAGGGCCTGCAGGATCGAGTTGATGTAGCAGTAGTTGGACCTGTTGGTCAGTCCCCGAGGACGCAGGCTGATCGGGGCCAGGTTGATCTTGTGGCGTGTCAGGTACTCGGCGTACTTGTTGGTCCACTCATCCAGATGTTGCTGCACCTGACGCAGTGGCTCCGGCTTCAGAGGTTTGACGGATGCAGACGCGGGGCTGGGAGCGGGAACTGCCTGAGCAGAAGCCGCAGAATAGGAGAGCGCTCCTGGGGTGATCAGCGGAGTTGTGGGCGCCGGCACGGGAGCAGGCAACTGTGATTGTTGGTGAGCCGTGGGCAGGGGCAAATTTTGAGGTGGCGCTGCCAGCTGGACAGCCGGAGCAGCAGCTGACACTAGAGCTGGCTGCGGAGGAGCCAACTGAAGCACTGGATGTGGCTGAGGTTGCTGCTGTGGCTTGCTGGCCTCATAGGGCGCCACCTTGGCCACTGGCTTGTTGCTGGCAAACAAACTGGCCCACGAAAGCTGGGCACTGTCGCTATTGTTCTGCGAAGCTGGCGGTGCAGGTGGGGCAAGATTCAGCTGGGGTTGCGGATTGACTGCTGAACTGGAGGCCACCACGGAGCTTAGAACCACTGGCTCATAACTCTGATGTTTTTTAGGAGCGTAGTTGCTATACGATTTGGCTGCTGCTGCTACTGCTGGTGGTGCAGCTGTCACATGTTGCTGCGGTGCAGGCTGATGTTGCTGCAGTGCAGGCTGCTGTTGCTGCGGGGCACTGACCACTGGTGGTGCACTGTTGTTGTTAGTCTCCAGTTGGAATTGATTTGGGGTAGCCGTAATGCTAGCCGTTGAGGTAGTTGCTGGTGTGATTGCCACAGGGGTTGCAGTTGCTGCTCCTGTTGCCGGTGTTGCTGCTGCCTGTTGGCTGTTTTTGCGCTCCAGCGTTGGTGCTGTGCTGGCCACCGGCGATGAGGGCACCTTCATGGTGCCATAGTTGCGCACCTGGGGCTGATTGTTGCCGCTGCTCGAGCTGCTGTTGCTGCTGCTATTGTTGTTGCTGCTACTGCCGCCGCTGTTGTTGTTGTTGTTGTAGTTGTTCTGGTTCTGGAAGTGTTGCTGCTGCTGCTGGTAATGCTGCTGGTTGGTAAACGTCTTTGTGGTGTGACTGTAGTTGGGTTTGGCAGTCGGTCCACTTGCAACGCCCACACCACCCGATCCATTGTTCACATTATTGGGCGAAGCAGTGACGGAAACCGATTGTGTGGACTTTTTGTGCTGAGCGGAATTGGTCCAGGACATGGACTTGGTAGTCTGGATGCCCGTATCGCTGCTACCGTGCTGGTGATGATGGTGGTTGTACTCCGAGGAGTACTTGCGACGCACCTGTTGCTGCTGGGATTGATTGTATTGCTGCGATGGCTTGCGCGGTGGCTGCGGTTGTTGCTGCTGCTGCTGTGGCAAATGATGTTGATCATGGTAGCTGGTCTGCTGCGGTGGTTGTTGCTGCTGCTGTGGCGGCACCACCACCGGCGATGTTTGCTGCTGTTGATGTTGCTGCGGTGCTGGCTGATGCTGCTGCTGCTGTTGCTGCTGCGGTGGCTGTTGCAGTTGAGGTGCCACTGTTGCTACTACAAGGTTTGGCACTTTTGTTGGCGGTTTTTCGATTTGCAGCGGCGCTAATTGCTGATGTTGCTGATGCTGCTGATGTTGCTCCTGTTGCTGCTGTTGTTGCAGTTGATGCTGCAGTTCCTGCTGCTGTTGTTGCTGCTGCTGCTGCAGTTGCTCCTGCTGCTGCTGGCGGAACTCCAATTCAATTTGCTGCTGCTTCTCGTTGGCCAACTTTTCCTCCAAGGCCACCTCGTTGTTGTTGTTCGTCAAACTCTTGTCAACTGGAAAAGGCAAGAGGGCAAATTACAATCAATAAGAGCTTTTACTATGACCTTAAATTCGAATTTCCCAGCAGCCTCTGTTGAAATATGAGAAGAAATTCAATTGCTGGCTGCAAACTAATTTACAAAATCAACATAATTGATGCCAATTGATGCCAAATGCTGATAACTTCAGCGACCACTGAAGGAATGTGTCACTGAAGGCACTTTGGGAGAAATAGCAGCCGCATAAGGGAATTTTTGGAAGCCACAGGCAATTAAGGCTGAATTAAACCCTTAATTGATTTGTTATTTGAGGAACTCGAAAATGTACAATGTTCAGAAAGCAGACGGATAAAGCATGATAATCTGTGTGCATATATTCATGTGTACGAGAACAATGCAGATCATATTCCCTTTTTGGATCCCATGGGGTCCGCATATATAGATGGTCCAATAACTGCCGAAAGGCATTGTTCTCTTGTCCGCATTTCTGCTTTATTTGTGCTGATACTGATAAAGCCGGCCATCGATTGCAGCTATCAGTGCAAATAGAAAACATAACTAATCCATGTCAAACTCAAGTGGGGAAAAACAACACAGAGTAGACCCCATTTGCGGCCATTCGACGAGGCAAATTGTTATTAAATCACCAGACGATGGGCCTGTTGCTAGGTGTTTGAACTTCGCACTCGCCCCTGATACTGGGCACAAGATAAACGGCATTGCCAGCCATTCCCGGTTCGATAAGAGCCTCTCCATGTGAAACCAGAAAAGGTTAACTCAACAACGAAAGAATGGGAGTCAACATCCATGTGATCACCCATCCCAGATTAAATTCAAACAGATCGCTCCCTAAATCACACAAAGGAAATGAGGAAACGTATGAATCTGGGTTATGTTTAATATTGATAACAGGATGTATACCCCTGAATCAGTTACAAATTATTTGCAGTATTTATATGAACTAAAAAAATAAAGTATGTAGGTTATGACTCTATAAGGGATAAGAATTGTGTCATATCATATGGTAAAATGCTTTAAAAACAATAAAATGATATATCATTATTAAACAGATCGTTCCTAAAGTTCCGTAAATAACTTTAACATTACGGAATATGTAGAAAGTCCTGAAATCACAACTATCATTTTAAATTAAATATTTTTACACCAGATAGTTATGCATTCTATTGATAATATAATGAAAAATTATCAAAACGGCTAATTTAAAACGGTTACTATATCCAAAATTAAAGCACCTGCTGGAATCCTAATAAACCATCGAAATTTTTAAGTCCAACAATGGCCTACGTACCTTCCCCGCTTTCCTTCTCGACATCAAACTGCCTTTAGGAATTTGTTAAAAAACTAGTAATTTATTCCTTGATCGAGCTCCAGCTCACTAGACAACTTTCCCAGGGCAGACTGTACTTGTTGTTATCATTATTATTTATATCCATCTATTGGTGATTTTAAACGTGCTAAAACTGGATTGATTGGATTCCGCCACAAGGGTTATATTAGCGAACGAGCTCTAACTAAGTGCTCTTCAGTTCGGAATTCGGCAGTTGGCCGTTGGCAGGCGGTGTTAAACGCCCATTTATTGGATATACTATATGCTACAATATCCACCCCATCATATGACAATTTGAATTGCGAGTGCGCTAATTAATTTCAATTAGCGACCAACAAGCCGAGAACTAAGTTACTCAATAAATATAAATATAGGTGAAATCGAGCAAATCGAGTGCGAATACTGTATGGAAATGTGTGGAGCAGCAACTGCGGCCGAGATTAATGCATTTAAAATAGTGGCAATGTGCGGGGGAAATCTGTGCCAGGGTGTCAGTTTGGGCGCAATAACAACAGCTTTTGAACGTGTTGCCATAACGATTCAATAGAGAGGGACGCACTGGTCGGGACTGTGCGAGGGAGAGCGGTGGATCCGCCGCACTGTCACAAGGTTGGATGGATAATTACAGACATGAGTGCACAGGTAAATTGCAATAAGTTGACTGCAGCAGCAACAAAAGCAAACAGGGAAATTGTCAGGCACGGAACAACAATATAATACGCAAACGCGGCGAGACTGTACTTCATTTCCATTTGTTGTTCCATGTTCCATGTGATAAATGAAAATCAACGGGGTCGGGGGTTCGCTACAATGTCAATCCATTAGAATACAACCCCCACCCCCACCCCTCATTCACTTTCAAACAAAAAACAACCAACTCGTCTTGAGAATTCGCTTTCAGTTTCATCTGTATAACACTTTTTTACTCGCCAAGCTTCATTAGTTTAAATGAATTTGTTTTCCAGTCTCGAGTTGCATTTCATTAGGCCATATCTGTTTTTAGAGAAATTAAATGAGATTTTGTAATTGTTTTCCCTTTCCTAAATTGAACGTAAACATCCAATGAAAATGGGTCAGCTTTTGGTTCATTCACTGGCATTCCGAAAGCCTCCCCTTTTCCAATATCCATTTGTTGCTGTTATTGAACGCGCGATTTTATTCAATTTTTTATTAGCTAGCAACAGAAGTCGGGGATGGGGAGGGGAGGGGGTCTGAGACCCGGTCTATGAGTAATTTATGCTTATTGAGCTTCGATTCGATCCGAGAGAGCCACAAATTGTAAACACGATATGGCCGCTTTTTAATTGATAGAATCTAGAAGCCAAATACATAAAACAGAAACATTCCCGCTTCCATGGGCTCAAAATCGCACCACAAATAATTATCAAGATATAAATATGATGTGATAAATACAAACAATAAATAAATGCCCTTGCTTTGAAGATTTTATTTTTATTCTCACTTAACAGAGGCTTAATACATATTATTTTGACATTAGCACACAACAAATGTGTACAAAATTCAAGTTTTTAGGGTATCCCTTCAAAAATATTAGCACCAAGAAGAAATAAAACACAGAGTTCTTTGAATCATAACAGATAAGCTGGCCACGAAGGAACTACAACCAAGTAATCAATTTCATAATGTAATTCTATGCCTACCCCAAAGTGATTATTCATTTTGTTGATTAGTTGTTTTAATCAGTTCCCTGAGTCACAAACAAAAAAAAAAAGCAAGCCAAAGTGCGAAGCGGATGGAGTTTATTTTGGAGCACAAAGAAACAGTATAATGAATACTGCAATATATGCAATTATGGGACATATAGATAGCATGAAATTGTCTTTCTTGTACTTATATTATACAAACTTTGCACTTATTTTCACTGCCTGAAAGGGTGCTTGATTTATATACAGTGAATAATAAATTTTTTTATTTCTTTGGTTTTTAAGTAACAAGAAAAAATAATGTTATTGTATTGTGTATAATAAATAAATATATATTCTACCTTGGGTCAAAAATGTATTCTTTTTTATTGCCTTTACCACCATGTTTTTTCCTGTGCCTTGAAAGCAAATGCATGTTAAGGAAGGCTGGCAGAGAACAGGAGCCTTTTTCATTTTGCAGCCCACGAGGCGTATGCGTAACGTGAGTCACCCACATTTCCTGGCTCAAATATTGATTGAACTGACCCGTATGCAATTCAACGAGTGGTCTTCCCATAATGAGACTTGTTCCCAGCTCTTTAACTGCCGCTTTAGCTGCCCCATTGAAATTGATAAGTAATCTGCTCAAGCGTTGGATCATTCAATGGGAAAACAAGGGGGTTTGGTATGGTATAGGGGGATACAATACAATGTAGAAAACAAAGAGGAATGGGCACAGTCTCAATCGCCTGGCAACAGGGCCAAAAACGAATTGTAGCAGACAATTCAATTGAATTCATTTGTGTCAATTTACAATAAATAATACCGAGAGTAGAGAGGACGGAGAGAGGGGCGGGGGATGAGCTAAGAACAATAAGTGAAATTGAGTGCGGACGAAAATTGCATAATTCTATGAGCCACGCGACCTTCGCCGCATAAGAAAAACAAACAAACTATAAAGTCTTTGGTGCGGAAAGAGGGTTAGTAGGAGTTGGGGTTCCGTCGCCTTATCGCCAAACTGTTTACGAGTGGGGCTGTTGACGGTTTATTTCGAAGTGGCTTTAAAGCATCACCTGATAAGCATCGACGGTGCGACGGAAAGGCCCAAAGAAGTTGAGTTGAACTGACAGCCGAGGAATCCAAGGACACGCGCTGAAATGTATCCTCTGCCCACCGCCCACACACTCCCACATTAACATATAAATGCGTGTAACAGATTGAAAGGACAGGAGAGCTCGCTTCAATGGACCTGTGCATACAGTCCAACTTCTCTAAATCGAAGAATCGTTTTCTGTTGAAAATAAATGTTTAGTTACAAAGGATTGGCCAGAAAGGTCTAAACTTTCCGGGTCATTGATCCAAGACATTCTCAGAAAAAATGTTATAAAACCTTTTAACAATCTTTTATGATTTATCAAAACTGAAGATCCTTGTATGTAATTTTACACAGGATTAACAAAGTCCTAAAGTTAAAAATTTAAATCCATTTTATTTAAATTAAAGTTTTAAATCAAAACTGTACTATATGCAGAGGAATAAAATATTTGAAATGTATGCCAGTACATTTTTTTTCATAACAAGTTGGAATGTGTCTCGTCCAAGTTCGACTGTAGCTGCCAGATAGGCAATGTATCTGACAGATACAGAGGCCAGGCTCATCGGTCGGAAAAACAGGCGCTGCATACCAAGCAACGCAACAAGTTGAACGGGCAAAAAACGGCAAGGTAAAATTGTCGCAGCAGCACGAACTGCGTCATTTTGAAAACACAATATTCTACAAGCTGTATTTTTGTATCTGACACCGTGTATCTGTATCTGTATCTGAATCGGAGCAATGGCAATGGCAAGGAAAGCGTTGTCAGCGTAAAAAAAACGCTTAGCGGCCAAACAAAGCGAGAAAAGCATTGACTGCACAACACGGCGTATGCGCAATTTTCATTTTCATTAACAAAGAAGGCAGCGGGATCTGGGAGAAAGGGGTGGGCGGGCTATCAAGGGGTGCTCTTAATGGGGTGCTGCAAGGGAGGGGGGTTGCAATAATTGAAGAGTCATCGCTGGTTCATTCAACCTTTTAGCACCGAGGAAATAAAGAAAGAAAGAAAGCTCTTGGACAGCTGGAGAAATCTTTTTATCTTCTTGCCTTTGCAAAGCTTTGTGCTCTCAGCAAAAAAAAAAGATGAATAGTTCAAGGATAGTTTATTCATTACTCAAAGTGAGCATCTGTGACAGTGAAAAAAATAGTGTAATATCAATCTTGTGTAGATATCCGGCTTAATGTGTACAAGTTCGAAAGGCCTAGTAAAAGATAGATGGTTCTAATATTTTCTAATCTTCTGATGTTTTGAAAGCGCTTAATAAAGTGATAGACTTTTGCAACTTCACTAAAATATTTTGTTAAAATATTGTAGGGCTTGCTGTTTTCTCAACTTATTAACCTACAAATTCTTTTTAATGACAGAAATAAAATATGGAATAAAATATTTTTAAGCTAAAATATGAAGCTCTTATTATTACTTTGACTAATTTTCCCCAGTGCATTGCCCTATTTCACCCACATTTCACTCGGTTGCATTTGATTTTTGGCACAGAAGGCTGCCCGAATTCTGTTTTAAATGGGGCAGCTAATTTTACAAAGACACCTGGTGCAAGCGCCCACTAATCCGCCCATTCACTCTGGCCCCTGAAACCGAAAGAACTTTCACCACGGGTCGGCAGGGATATCGGGTGTCCTGTACCACCTCCCCATATATATTTTCCCAGAGTCCCTAGGCAGTGTGCATTTTGCGCTCCATGCATTTTTAATGAAAGCCCAACCACACGCATTGCGGTATAACAGTTTTGCTGCGATTACCGCTATTCCGCATTTCGGATTACATTTCAGTTAAGTTAAGTTAAGTGTAATTTGCTGGCACACACAGATTGCTGGCCAAGATTGGAGGCGTTGGCCATTTGAGTCCCTACGTAATGCCTTAATAACAGAGCAAACAAATCGAGTTAGGGAAACGGAACGCAAAAAATACAAAAGGGAAAAAGAACCGAACCGGAGGAGGGGCCAAAGTGGCGCCCTCTAGCGTTGACCCACAATATCGGAGGGGTTTCTCTTTTCACCATGTGTGCGTGTGTTTGACATGGAATTTTTATGAATGACATTGACCAACCACCCAAGAAGAAGAACTGCACACATCCCTCCCCCCGAAGGAAAAAAAGAGAGCCAAAGAGTAGGAAAGACCCTCGGCTAGAATCTCTTAAGACTTCCCACCGCAACTACCGACGAAAAAAGTGCTAACCACGCCGAAAAACTGTTATAAACCAGAAGGCGAAAAAGCACATTTTTACGATTTTACGACCTGGCAACAGACGAAAAAGTTGATAAACAAAATAACTACAAATATCTCGAAAGGCGGTCTTATCAGCTGCGTGTCGAATGCATTTTATTATTTAGGTGAGCCAACTGTTAAGATAATGCCCGGATTATACAATTGGTCGGCGCCTAAAAGGCGGCAGACCAAAATAACACTTTCTCCCAAACACGCACTTAGGTGACAGTACTACTTCACTAAATGGAACTTTAGAAAGGATTGGAGTTTATCAAGATTTGAGAATTGAGGTCTGTAATCAATTGGAACTGGTAATCTTCCTGCTCAACTACGTTAATCTATTTAAAATGTAACTTCTCATAATCATTTCAAGAATTTAGAAGTAGGCCTTCCATAGCTCTGAATAAAATTAGAATTGACGTTTGACCTATTAAGGAACTTTTTTACCTTAACTTCATTTCAAAATATAGAATGTTTGTGAACTTTAAAAATGATTTCAAGAATGTTCCATTTGGCAAGTCTCTAGAAGGTGTCCTGTTGAGGTGAGAGTGGGGTTTGAAAAGTAAAAGTCTTCTGGGGGCGAAATACAGTTAACCTTTAACCTAAATCGCCAGTAAAGAGCAACAGTTTCGGCGCTCTTTGATATTTGTGACTGTTATACGGTAGCACAGTTAGCACTGTTACAGTAGCGTAGCCATGTGGCAAAAGGCGGTTACCGGTTTTTCAGGCTTTACTTTTCAAATTCAATCAAAGAAAAGCAAAAGGTGATAAAAAAAACACAAGGGAGAAAGACAAAAGACAACCCTTGGGCAAACAAAGAGGGGTTGTTTGTCTTGTCTTTCGCTCTCGCTCTCTCTCTTTCTCTGGCCACCCCGTCATTTGTTTTTGTTACAATCAGCTGTTTTTGGGGCAGAAGAGCGAGCGAGAGAGAGCACAAGTGGAGCTTGCGCTCTGTGAGCTTGAACTTCAAATGCAACGAGCGAGAGAGCGACAGAGAGAGTATTTTTTCAGAAATTTAGAATTTGTCTTTGTATATCGTATAACAGTCGCTTTTTGCTGCCGTTACGAGGAATTTTCATTTTCATTTCGCAGCGAACGGCGCAGCAGTCCAGAACAAAAGTCGGGAAACTAAAAATCGGCATCGGAGATTGTTATTTTTGCCAGACCCGCAAAAAATAAAAGCCAATGAAAATGTCGCTAAAATGCAAATGCAGCTAAAAGTTATCGAGTAGCGTGTGTGTGTGTGCGCCGTCGAGCGAGCGTGTGTGTGTGGGCTTTTTATCGATCACACTCCGCTCTTCTTCCGCTTCCTTTCTCCCCCCACCACCCCCTCTTTCACCAACGCCTCTGCCTCTCTCCAACTGAATTTCAAAGCTGAAAATCGGAAAATTATACAATTGCATTCGAAAATTACGACGTACACACGTACGTACATACGTACGTACAGCACCCCCGAAAAAAGCGCTGAGGAAATCTCGCCAAAACGCAAAATCAAAGTCAAATAAAAAGACAACAGAAAGCAGAAAACGGAAAAGCAGCCAAAAGGCAGGGAAAATCTAAGAGGAAAACAAACATTTTGTAGTGACCTCAGCTGCAGCTGCAAGTGCAAGTTAAAAATACACAAACAAAGCGGAAATGGGCGAAAACTAAAAGCACAAAGCAAATAGTAACGGTTAAGTTAAAGCCAGCACAAAACCAAGTCCAACTGGAGCTCCTAACATTTACTTACACGGTTAAAAGTTAATATTTACTTAAATACAGGCAGCCCACGCCTTTTATCGCCAGTGAATTTATGAATTTATCAAACTAAACGAAAACAAAAACTCAATAACAATTGACACACACACACAGGCGCACACACCAGTACTTCAAGTGCATTGGGAGAGCCAAAGAGAGGGTGTCCGAGCAGAGAGCCGGGGAAGAGATAAACTTGGGCTCCGCTCTCCTCGCCTTTGGCATTCGCACGCGGGCAGCGACGCCAAGCGGACGTTCCTCCTCCTCCTGCACTTCATCCGCCTTCTCCTACTCTTTCAATTTTCAACTCCACCAAACCGCGTGTGTAGGTTAGAGGGAAACCTTAACCCTTAGGCCGCCACCATGGTGGATATCAACAGTTCAAATCCCGGCAGTGTGGGCGGCGGCAATTCCGCCTCCTCCGCCAGGCTGCGGAGATTCGAGAGGACGGACAGCGAGCTGGCTTGTGAGGAGGCGGCCAGGCTGACGGCAGAGCAGAGTCCCGAGGACGAGGACAACCAGGACAACGACGAGGATGACGAGGACGAGGAGAGCGTGTACGGAGAGCTGCCCCCTCCGCCGGACGGAGGATACGGGTGGGTCATCTGCTTCGCCAGCTTCATGTGCAACATGATCGTCGACGGCATAGCCTACACATTCGGCATCTTCCTGGAGGAGTTCGTGGCCTACTTCCACGAGGGCAAGGGCACGGTGGCCTGGGTGGGCAGCCTCCTCTCGGGCGTCTACCTCAGTGCCGGGCCTATCGTCTCCGCTCTGGCCAACAAGTACGGCTGTCGGGCTGTCTGCATAGCCGGCAGCATAATCGCCTGCATCGCCTTCGTCCTGAGCACCTTCAGCACCAGTGTGAGCATGCTGATGGCCACCTACGGCTTCATGGGAGGATTCGGTTTCGGCATGATCTATCTGCCGGCGGTGGTGGCCGTGGGCTATTACTTTGAGACCAAGAGGAGTCTCGCTACCGGAATCGCTGTATGTGGTTCTGGATTCGGCACCTTCGCCTTTGCTCCCCTGGCCACGTACCTCCTGGAGGAGTACGGCTGGAAGAACGCCCTGCTCATCTTCGCCGGTCTGATCCTCAACTGCGCCATCTTCGGGGCCATGATGCGTCCTTTGACCTACCCGAAGAAGAAGAAGCAGAAGCCCCTGATGCAGCGGATGTACGAGGAGAAGCAGCTGCAGCTGGAGAGGGGATCCTTTGCGGGCTCCCACTTTATGGTGCAGCTTCCGGATGGAACCATGGAGCGCAAGTTAAAGATGCCTTTGAATGCTGATCCCGGCGTGCACTCTAGCTTGAACCTCGAGCTACTGGCTCAACAGGCGAGCGGCGGCGGGGGTCTGCATCCCGTTTCCACGCTGCCCACCATCACGGAGTCCAAGGTGGTCGATGTCCATCGCCAGAATGGCGCACAGTCCCCGCCAAATGGTGACAGCAATGGCCAGTTGTCCGCCCGATCAGCTGCAGGCGGCGGACGTCGTCCGCACAGGAACTCCGAGTCGGAGAACAGTCCGTACCATTCGCAGGACGCCATGACCAGGAACGCCTCGCAGCCGGCCTTCCTCGCGGGCGATCACCAGAGCCTGCCCAAGAACGGATCCGTGCCGGCCTTCAACACGCGGGTGAGGAAGACCTCTGCCTCGGAGCGTTTCCAACCCTCGCTGGCCGCCATCAGGGCCTCTTCTCGCGGCGATCTGGAGGCCGGAGCTGGCGGAGATTTCGCCTCGTCCAAGTTGTCGCTCTCGCAGCGGCAGGGCGGCAGTCAGACGGGCAGCAGCGGCCGGATGGTGCGTCCCATGTCCCGCAAGGACATCTTCTATTCGGGATCCGTGACGAACCTGCCCCAGTATCAGTCCCAGAAGTCGCTAACCAACTACCGAAACTCGGTTCTGTCGCTGACGAAGTACGAGAAGAGCATGCAGAGCGTGGCCAAACTTGATCCCCTGGCGGAGGCCGAGAAGCACCGCGAGGAGTACGACCTGTGTCCCTGCCTGGGCATTCCGGATTCCGTGAAGTCCGTGGTCAACACCATGTTGGATGTGAGCCTGCTCAAGGATCCGGTCTTCATGCTGATCGGAGTCTCCAACATCTTCGGTATGGCCGGGTTATATGTGCCCTTTGTCTACCTGGTGGACGCGGCCAAGGAGCACAATGTGCAGAAGAACGACGCCGCCATGCTGATCTCCATCATCGGCATCACCAACACAGTGGGTCGCGTGTTCTGCGGATGGGTTGCGGACCTGCCGCAGGTCAACTCGCTGCTGCTCAACAACTGCTGCCTCCTGGTGTCCACCATCGCCGTGACTGTGACCCCACTGTGCTACAGCTACGCGGCCTACATAACCGTGTCCATATTCTTCGGACTGGCCATCTCCGGCTACATCTCGCTGACGTCAATTATCCTGGTCGACCTGCTCGGCCTAGACAAGCTAACAAATGCCTTCGGACTGCTGATCCTGTTCAGGGGATTCGCCGCCTTAATCGGAACGCCTTTGGCGGGAGCCATCTACGACATGACGCACACCTACGACCTGCCCTTCTACATGGCCGGAGCCCTGTTCGGCATTTCCACCATAACCAGCTTCCTGGCGCCCTGCCTGAAGCGGTGCAGTCCCGCCGAGGAGACGCCCGTGCATGTGGAGACCCTTACGCCCATAGACGAGGAGCAGGGCGAGGATGCCGAGGACGAGGACGAGGATCAGCCCATCACCATAGTGCCCAAAATCATCAAGACGCTGGCGAGTCCACAGCAAGAGGAGGGACATCCGCAGTTCCCCCAGAAGACGAACGAATCGAAGCTCTAAGGGGCGCATCAGTTGGGAAGAAGATGAATTTACACGGGGCACTGCGGGGCTCAAGGAGATCCGGTGAGATATTTTTCTATTTACTTATACAGCAGAGGAGGAGATCAGAGATCGAGCACACCTATATACAAAGTGGAGAAGTCGGATATGTATAGCCAGCCCCATACCACGTATATACACATATATATTTAAGCCTAGGCAACAGCGGAGGAGGAGGTGAGCTGCGGAAACTCACTTTTCTACCAGGAGAACTCAGCTTAGCTTGCGATAAGATATAGAAGAAACCTTCGGCTATATATAATTATACTACGCTCATAAATTAACGATCGAAAACTGATACCGATCGCTGGTAGATTGCAACTGTTATACAGCAACCACAAAATATTGTAAAGTAACTTCTATTATTATTATTTGTTTGTTAAACCCTACGATTACTATGATTACCATTATGATTACTATTAAAGATAAATGATTATTGTGTATTCTACTACATAGTTGTTGGCCAGGCGTTATTAATGTGTCATACTGTAGGCGATATAGCGATATATAGAGTGTGTGAAAACTGTAAACTGTAGCTAAGTAGAAGTGGCCCGATTAACTTAAAGAATAACAGCAGCCAGAGCAGCAACTATTTCGAAAACCAATAAATTGTATACTTTTAAGGAAGAACGCTACACAAGAGAACTCAAAGGCGAATACACACAAAGGAACCGCATTAAGATCTAAAATTGTTTTCAATTTTACACTAATCATTTAGGTGGCAAACTCAAAATACAAATTTACGGCTCATTTTTGTAAGTTACTAACTAAACTAAAGTCCAGCAACAGCAACTAAAACCAAGAGCAAATGAATTTTTAAGGCTTGTGTATGTCTGTTTTAAACTATCCAAATATATAGCCTAGCAGCTACGAACCATAAGCAATACAGCAAGTGCAGTTCTATACAAACGAAATTGTTCACGCGGCTAAACTAATTAAACAGTATATAATATGTACCACAAACAATATTCTAAATCTGTTATACGCATAAGGACAGGGCAACAACAAGTGGAACGAGTGGAAAACACATCAAAAGTAACATTTAGAACAATAAGTGTTGATGGAATGAGAAAAGCAGCCAGAATAGTAATAAAAGAAATTGCCATACATTTTAAAAACTGTCAAAGGTTGTGTTTTCGTGGGGAAATTTCAGAGTGGTTTATAGCTTGAAATATTTTCAATACAATTAAGAATCAACTGAATTGAACGCTGATTGATGGCCTAGTACCACAACGATGTGATCAAAGTAAATAGGTAATTAGATATTTATCACTTTAATTCATATTTCTAGGTTTGGTTTTGATGGTATTGTCATTATTTCTCTTCCAAAGTATCCAACATCTTTTTCCGAAAGTGTATTCCTCATTCATGACCCTCATAACGTTTAGGTAATAGAACAAACATAAAATCTACGGATTCCGCTTATATTTGACTAAGTACTTATATCAAGAGGTAGTCCGTGAAAGCTTTCGCACAATTATAATCTCCCATGTGGAGCGTGTGGCGCTCTAAAAACCATCGATCAAAAGTTCGCCTTCGACTTAAAGTAATGCGTTTATCAGTGAATTCTGAAAATCAGATCACAACGTGCTTACTCGCCAAATCCATAAAACTCGACCCAAATGATTAGCCCAATCAATTTGCCACGGGGGAGTTAAACTGCTCTTGAGCAACATTACTAATTGAGGGGACCCAGGGGAAATAATGTCGCCTATCAATCTAGTCTGTGGACAAACACTTGGCGATATCGCTATATGAAATACCGTCTACAACGTCTACAAGTGCTTCGAAAACAGCCATAAAAGTAAAACCCCTCGACTGGACGGAGCTCGTTCAGCAGACATAGATAGAGATACGGTTAAAAAACCAACTGGAACCCAATCAGTTTGCATTCCCAAGACCTCCTCCTTCACGTGTGAGTTCCCTAGCGGTTCCATGTGCATTTAAACGAAAGAGGTAATACAAATGACACTAGAACAGCACTTAAATATCACTAAAATAATCATAAATCAATCAAAATCTTGTAATCTGCTATGTCAATTGAGCTTCAGGCGAAATCAATGAACTAATCTTTATAATTTTCTATTATAAAGGAATAATTTATGGGTTTCCCTAACAAAAAGTAACAGCTCTTGTATAAATGACTATTAAAGGCTATTTACGTTTCAAATGTTAAATTATCCTAGTATTATAGTCCTAAGACTTGAGATTTTTTTAAAGATAATATAAGTAATCATGTTTATGATCAGTAAATATTCCTGAGATCAATTTACATATGAGAGGATCTAACAACCAATCCCTAATATTTGATAAACTTCTATGCTCGAGTGTAGTTTACCTACCCAACCCCCCTTTTTCAAGTTCTACTAAAAGTTGCGAGAGTCAAACCGAACCGTATTCACTGAGTCCACTTCTCAGCCCATTCGGCCTTTTGTCTAGCAATTAAGCATGACACCAGGCAAATAGAAACGGCCAGCCCCTGGGCCTAGATGGATCCCCTTGCTCCGGCCACATGACACACTCAATTACGATTAGTATGCAAGTGGTCGAGGATGTCTACTCCGCCATTTCCACTTGGAATCCGAGACCGACCATTTGATTGATAAGCGTGAACAATGCCCACAACAGTCGGACAAACTAAAATAATAACAAAGAACTGAACGGAAGCCACTTGTGTTGCTGATTAGAGAGTGGGTGTCTTGGTGGGTGGATGGATGAGTGGGTGGATAGAGGGCTGTTGTTGGGGGCACAGCGAAGTGGTCAACAAGTCCAACACCTGTTGGAGGCTCCACGGGAACGATGGGTGGAAGAAAAAACCAAAGAAAAATCCCAGCCGAAAACAGACCAAGGCCTGGCAACAGACGGCCCGAATAATTAAGGCCCAGAAGCTATGGCCAAATGTGTTGACATCAACGTGTCGTCCCCCAGAGACATTTTAGCCATATATATCGGGCGACACCTGAGAAGAGTACGAGCCGAGTGGAGGGAATATAGTAAAGAGAGCGTGGAAAGGCAAAAAAAAGGCAAAAAGTGCATATAAGCACGGGGGCCAGGCGACGCTATCGAAGGCACTCCATGACGAATTCCAAAATACATCATGGAAAACGCTGTTAAGTAAGTGTAGGGCAACACGAAAACCAGATACTCTGGACGCAAGTCGGGTTGAAAGTCCAATAACTGCTCTCGTTGGGTTTATCGCGGGCCTTGCCGCAGAACAATAACATGATAAATCGAAAATTCTTTTATAGTGCCGATAATATGTGGTGCTATTGGGTTCTAAAACCGTAAGTTCTCATTAGAAGGGTATGCAATGTATTGAAAATTTCAGAATAAATCTTAAGAAGATTGTTTGTTTATTCTAGATCGATGAAAAATCTTTAGTCAGTTCAAAATACTAACAAAAACAATTGAACGCTTTTTACAGATAACTTACTGAAGTGACAGTTCTAGCATTATAGTAAGACGATTAGCTCTCTGATAAATATCAAATATCAAAAGATGTCATTGACCAACAACAAGGAGATTAACTATGACATATAGCCCAAGTGGAAACTATTTACCTATATTATTCAACTGCTGTTCAAAGCCGAAGTTCTCAATTACTCAATGAATAATTATTCCTTATCAACTAGCATCAATTGGAACGAGATTAAAAACGGCAATAATGAAAAGTAGGAAATTAGACAAAGTGCAACTCAGCGCGAATTCTGAATTCCAATACCCAAATGAATCACTAATCAATACTGAGCACGAGAGCACTTACCCATTGGCTCCTGATGCGGTTGTTGCAGTTGAGGAGTGGGTGTCGGCGGCTGAGGAGGTTGAGCTAGAACCAACTGGGTCGGCTGCTCGATTAGCACGGGAGATGCTTGCTGCAAGATGTGATGTGGCGGGGGCAGCAGGGCTGGCTGGACGCCCTCCGGTGGCAGAGGCATGGCAGCAGTCCATGCCACAGGAATTGCGCCAGGGGGCGGAGCTCCGCACTCGGCGAGTTCGTCCTCGTACTGTTAACGATAAAAAAGGTTAATAGCGTGATAATCTTATTTAATATCAGTTCTAGTTTGGTTTTCACATGAGTTTGTGTGCCAAACTAGGCCCTCTTTGTGCCAGATCCACTTACCTGGGGCAACGGGCCTGCTCCTGGGTGAATCGGCTGCAGGGCGGCCATCTGACCTTCGTCGTAGATCTGCATCACGCCCATTTGTTGCTGCATTTCGTGCATCTGGGGATCGTAGATCGGGTAACTCGGACTGAGCATGCTCGACGTCTCCGAGGAGGGCAGCGAGGAGCTATTGTGATTGAGCTCATCCCCCACATTGACGACTCCTCCATTGGGATGTACGGCCACCTGTTGTTGTTGTTGCTGCTGCTGTTGTTGTTGTTGCTGCTGCTGTTGCAGCACTTCGAAATCTTCGGCGTACATTGGCGCCGAGTGCCACATCTGGGTCATCCCTCCATCAGGCTGAGCGACACGTTCATCCACTCCCGGATGGCCAGCATCTTCTGGGACATACTGATACTCGGCCGGATGCATCATGGGGTAGATGTATCCCCCGGGATTAAACCACGCTGGGTTGTACATGACCGGTCCGGAGAAGAAGACCGGTGTGCCGGTGGCCTGCTGGGCAGCAGTGGGGTTCGGAGGCGGCTGCAGGTTCGCATGCTGCGGCGCGAAGTAGGGCGGATACGGCCCGTAGGCGTAGGTGGGCGGACCAGCGGTGTAGTACTGCTGCAGATGTTGCATGTGCGCCTCCGGCGGCGGCAACTGCTGGCCCATCTGATCCGGCTGCAGTTGCAGGCCGGGGTTGGATCCATCTGGCGGTGGCAGTTGCTGCTGCGGCGGCAGGGTAATCAGTTGTTGCTGCTGCTGGAGGTGACGTGGCCCATGGTAGTCATTGCGTCGTGGTCCACCAGGCCCACGTCCACGACCGCGTCCCCGCGTGCGTCCACCACCCATTCCGGGAGTGTGGGGGTTCGGAGAGCCGCCCTGGGGAGCCAAATTGATGGGTAGGGGCTGCAGATGCGGCATCACGGCGTTGCCCTGTTTTGGTTAATAAGTCAGCGAGTTAGTAATGAAGTTTAAGTAGGTTCCCTGCTTGGTTTTTAGTGCAACAACAAAGCGGAAAGTTCAAAACTAAAATAGGTTAGACTAAGCAAAGTTCGTTGTTAATTTTTCTTCATGATTTCAATACTAGGGCACCCAGATTTGCAAAATATATATAATTTATCAATAAAGTATTCAAGTGGCCAAATAAAATTCTTCGCCACTGATCCTGTCCAGCTTCACCCACCTGCTCCGGTGGCATGTCGCCGTGTCCAATGTAGTGGTGCTGCCCGCCAGCCGGCATGTAGGTCGGAACGCCGTGCGGCCAGCCATGCAGGTTCACATTGGCAGTGACGTTGTTCACGTAGACGTTGTTGCTGGGAATCGGAGCGGGGATCATGGCCGGGTAGTGGGCTCCGGCATGGGGGTGTCCTCCGTGGGCGGACATGTAGACGTGTGGATTGTACACGGGCTGTCCGGCCGGAGTGAAGGCCTGGACGGGCGTCAGTAGATTGTTGTTCCCGGAGGGCGAGACCAAGTTGTTGTTGTTGTTATTGCTGCTGGGTCCGCTCACGCCGGCCGGCTGAGGGGTCGATGGCGTTGAGATGGGCGTGGCGGCTCCTCCGCCTGCTGCTCCGGAGGTTGCTGCTCCTCCCGAGGATCCCGCCGCCGTGGAGGCCGGCGTCGAGGTGGACGGCGCTGCCTGCTGCTGCGGCTGCGTTTGCTGCGCCATGGCCAGAAAGCCAAAAGAGCGGGACTGGGCTCAGTTCCTGGATTGGTTCTTTTTGCGGATTTAAACGAGTCTCAAGAGTCGCAGCAGGCGCCAAACATTGAAAGTGCCGTTTGCTGTTAGGGAAGATATGGACAGCTGATTAATATTTATGGTATTTCGAAGGAAAAATTGAAGATCATTAGAAGGTAAATATTAACATTTAATATTTAAAGTTTTCAGAACTGAATACCCCTACTTTTTTGATATTTTTAAATAAACAACTATAAATTACAATATATTATTCACATGTTTAGAACCAATTCTGCAACAGCTGTTAATTTTCCACAAAAATACCAAAAAGTACGCACACGAATAAAATTAATTATAAATGCCATTAAGCGACAAAGCACATTTTCAGTTTTTTTTTCTTTTTGACACGGGTTAAATTCTAATTGAATGCGATTTTCAATTCACGCCACTCCGCGTGCCGCAGCCCCGAGAACTGTCTGGCAACGCCGCACAGCTGCTGGTGTAATAAGAAAATCAAATAAACAAAGCAAAAGAGACGGATAATACGGATTGCAGGGGAGTTGATGAAACTGGAGCCTCTTCAAAATCACACATTAATCAAAACAAAACGAAGTGCAGGCGATTTCAAACCGTATTTTCTGCCCAATTTTGTGGTGCCACACGCCGCCCGCTAGAGATGAGCAATCGCAGCGATTTGCCGGCTCACGAGAATATCGGTCACGAATGTAACAGGTTCAAAGGGCTTTTTAATGGTTTTCACTGTTTGGAAACATAAATAAGGGAAGGCAATTACTGGGTTTAAGCAGCGTGGTTAGTTTCACCTAGTTTTCCATTTTGAATGACCAATTAGAGTTTTTTTGGGGGGTTTATCAGCAGTTGAAAATTACTCATCTCTGCCAAACACAACACACACACAGGCACGCACGCACTCGCACACACACATGGAGAGGCAGGGCAAATGAAAGAAATTGGAATATAACTTTAGCTGGAAAAGCTAGGGATTGTCGAGTATTTTCTAGGGTTACGGGGAGTTTCGGGACTCCGAGGTTTATGTAAACGCAGTTCGCCGGGCTTCGGTGTTATTTTCGGTGTAAATTCAGGGGTGGGGAGGCGGTTTATCGAACGTACCTTTTGTTGAGTGGCCAATTGAAATCAATTTTGCAATTTGATCATATTTTATGCGTGCGGCAATCTCGCTCCTCTCTCGCTCGCTCGCTCTCGCTCTCTCCGGCGCTCTCCTTCTCTTTCTCCGCGCGGTGCCACGATAATTCCGCAACTTTTTACACGCTGCTCCCAATTCTGCTGCTGCGGCTCCGACAAAATGACACTGGGGCGGGCACTTTCGCGGGTCACAGGTCACGGGCACAGCGAGAGGTCACCGGTTAGCACGGCACTCGCTCTCTTCGCTTTCGCTGGCGATCCCTTTTCTCTAGCGGGCCAACAAGCGTTTTTATTGTTCTTTATTTTTTGGTCGAAAAACCAGTGTGACCGCGCGATCCTCCATTCTCCAATTATACCAGTTTCGCTTGCTCAAATATACCGAAAATGTATCGGAGCGCGCTATCGATTGCCAGGGTGACCATCCTGCAAGTCATCGCAGTGCAACAGGTGGCAACGCCAAGAAGATTGGGCGGGAGAATTTAAATGGATTTATGAGATTTTTTACTAGGTTATTAATTTGAGAAACAGTACAATTTGTATTTTTCAAGTGTAGTTGTTAAAATTCTAAGTAAAATGTTTCGATATTTAATTAAGATCAGTATGAATTTAATACCCCGAAAAGATTTTAAAATACAATTATTCAAAAATAGTTTTATATCTTTGGATTTGGATTTGGATTAAATCAGCTTTATATTTTGTGTACGGAATCATAGTGCTGAATATGTTTTTCTTGATTAAACCTCCGGAGAACCTAAATTTGCTGCTTTATCAGCAGCTTAAAAAGGCACTGGTGAGGATTGAGACAAATGGAATCTTCAAGGGAAACCCACGAGTCTCGGGCAAAGATAGTTCCTCCAAAATTCAAATGGATCGGTTCTAGATACTTCTAAAAATAAATTTTAAGAAATATCATAAATACAAGTTACATTTAAGAGCAGCTAAAAATAAAAGTTATCAAGATTTTTCCTTGTACCAATTTAAAATTAAAACCAATATTTTCCCTTAGTAAACAGAACCTCTTATTTTAGACACACATTGTTTGGTTTTATTTATGCAATATTAATCATGCAATGAACAATTTTCCAAAATTCGCTGCTCCTCAACAGGGCTTCCCTTTCGGCCTGCCATTATAACTAACTCCATCATTTTGAATTTTCGGGCTTTCTGAGGGATTATCAACACTTATGGAACGAGAAACGTTGTAATTGCTTGGCTTACAAATAAACACTCAGATATATAATCGTATAGGTACTTGTAATGTGGGGTTAACACTGAGAGCGTAAAACTAATTATGTGTATCGAACATAATCCGTGTTCCGATTGCTTTTCATTGACATGTTTTCCATTCGCTGTTGACCAATTTCGTAAAACAATTTGCCTAATCAGTCTTTACTATAAGCTGATTGTACTTTTTACAGGGTGTTGGCCTCGCCCTCGTATTAGATCGTTGTGACTACACATCCTAGTAGAGATTGGCATTAACACAGTAACCGATAAATAGTATTGATAACAACGGTACGTCCATAAGAACCTTTCGACCTTAGGTATAGGCCCAGTAATAACGTGATATATCTCGTATTCTAACAATAGGAAGACTAGTGCCGACAGCTGCGATCGAAATAATCTTATTGGTTTTAAAGTAATCAGTAAAGTAAGTAGTCAATTTAGTTTAATAAAAAAGAAGGATTGAAGAAATTAGAAATTAAAGCAATAATAACGGTTTAAAAAAGAAACGTTTTAGCAAACTAAAACCAGTTGGGAATTATAGACTGCAAAATGGATTTTTAACGATTTATAGGTATTTCCAAAGGTACGCTTTTATAATTTTTGTTGCATGCCTTTGACACCTAAATAAGCCCCTTATTGTTCCGATCGCAACTGCAGGTTTTTGTTAATAACATCAGTTAATCCAGTTAATAGACATCGTTGAAGATTCGTTAGTTGATTGCTTATGCCCGAGGCAACACAGAGATAATTGCTGGTATTATACATATATATATAACACTTATCTAGGTACGATCTAGGGGTTATAAAAATAAACGACACGCACACGCACAAAAATACATATACAAACATCAATCGAGTTGCTAAAGTAATTGTCGATGGCTGCTGGTTAAACGCTATGAAGTGGGTTTTTCCATTCGATCCTAGGGATCTTGAACCTGGATAGTATCGGCTGAAGGTGGGTTAACCAGAGGAGGAGGGGGAGGAGGAGGGGGCGGTGGAGGAGCAGGCGGGGGACTGGGATGCGTCTCATCCGCATCCATTTCGATCTCGATGGAGTTCTCGCGCTCCGTAATCTCCGGCATTTTGAGGGAGAAGCTGCTCAGCTTCCGCTCCGCCGATCCCAGCGAGCTCTGGGAGTCGGCCTTCAGCAAGGTGGTCCTCCTCTCGTTGATGACCCTCAAGGAGTCGTACATCTGCTCATCCGCACTGCCACTTCCCCCGTTCCCAGCCAAGCCCCGCTCCATGGATCGTATGTAGAACACCGAATCATCCCGCTCGTTCGGCACCCCCTTCTTGGGTCTGTAGAACTGGCGGGAACTGTTGCTCCTGTAGAGCGGATTGGCCACCACCACTGGCCTCGGGTCCTCCTCCTGTTCGCTGCGGGCGAGGGGCAGGAACCCAGGACGCGCCTTCTTCGGCGGCAAGCTGCTCGTGTGGTGCTGCAGCTCGGTGATCTCCTCGTAGGACGTCTTGGGCTGCGAGTTGGCCTCCTGCTCCTCCGACTGGTCCAGGCTCTCCTCGGGCACCGCCGGCTCCATGCTAGACTGTCCCGACAGCTGACGCACCGGCGGCGGTGGTTCCGAGCAAACGGATAACTGGCTTCTGCAAAGGAAATCAAATCGATCATAAATTATCCATTGGAATGAAGGGTTATAGCCTATGGGTTAGGTATATTTTTCTTTATTTGGTTTAGCTATATAAACTGTGTCTTGATCCATTGAAAAATTCCATTAATTTAACATTAAGGTTGGGCAAAACCGACCTTCGACTAACTTGGAGATGCAACAGAGCTATCCAACTTTTTCTTACCGAAATTCTTTCTCCACGGAGGGCGTGGCTGATGGTCCGGAGCTGTAGCGCTTCGGCGATCTCAGAATCGACTTGGGCATCACCTCGGGACTATGGAGATCCACCTGAACACGCCGAGATTCAATACTTGAGGTTCGACTGGCGATGGATGCACAGCGAGCCGTCCAGCGGCCGCTATACGAGGAGTCCGACATTGTGGAGTTTCTGTAATATACATGAAATATGTATAAAACTGTCGTTGAAATTCATATAATCAAGGCAGGTGAAAACTATTAATTGCATAATTTGAACGTAACGTACCGCCTGTGTCCCAGTGGGCTGCGGCTGTGATCGCGTGCCTCCTCCTGCTCGATGGGTCTCTGTCGGGCGAGGACGTGCCTCTTGGCAGTGTCGGAGCGCTTGTTCCGCTCGCTGCGCTTCTCGGCACTGGAAGTGAGGCCCAGACCGGGCGGGGGATTGCTGCCACTGTCGAAGGAGGAGGCCTGCCAGTAGACCCGACTCGCAGCCGGCGGCTGGAGCAGGGAGCACTCCCTAGTGGCCCGCTGGATCAGGCTGGAGGAGTTGCTGATGATGCGGGCCGACGAGGAGGAGCCAGCTCCTCCACCCCCTCCCCCGGGATTCGAGCCCGGCCCCTGTCGCACCTGACGCACCCGCCGCACACTGCTGCTCGAGGATTTGTGGTGGTGGTGCGAGTGGCGGTGGTGGTGGCGACGATGTCGGCGGTGCGAGCAATACAGTTCCCATTCCAGCGGCGACAGGCGGGTCAGTGAGAGCAAATTGTAGTAATTAGTGGTGGCTGTGGTGCTTGGGTTTTGGTGGTTTGTGGTGTTGGTGGTGCAGGTGGAGGTAGTATTGGCATGAGCATGAGGTCCGGACAAATCCGGAGCGGAGCCAGCCCCCGAAAGGCGGCGCCACTGGGGACAGAAGCGATTGGATGCACTGATTTGGCGGAGTTGGCGGAAGCGGGATGCGGATGCGGATTTCAGATGTCGGAAAGCGAGAAGCGGGCGGTAAGAGCGAGAAACAGCCAATTGGATAAGTGGATTTCGATATATACAAGAATACATTTTACTGATCATGTTCCCAATGAGGCGAGATCTTCCCAGGGAGCACAGCCCACAGCCCTTACCTGAGTGACCTGGAGAACTTGACCAGTTCGGCGGTGAGTGCCTCGCGATCGAAGGGCTGCTGCGGATGTGAGTGCGGATGCGGATGTGTGGCCGAGATGCAGGCGGTCTGCGGCTGCTGGTGAGGATCGCCTGGCGAGGAGCGGAACACCCCGAAGTGCTGGTCCCAGCGGCTCGACTGGTACTGGGCACCTAGAGTTCAGGGAGATCTCGATTATTTCCAGCTTACGTAATTACTTTTTTCATTAATTTGAAATTTAATAATTAAAAAACAAATAATATTAATGTCCAACTACTAAGGTTGCGAAATCATTTTAAAAATATTCACTCAAAGTATGCTACAATAAATATTTGTTGTGTAAGTCTTTCTGAAATACGACCACCTTTGTTTTATTGCATACTTTTAGGCACCCTACTTTTGTGGCTTACGAGAAAATACCACGCTGATTTGCTCTTTTTGAGTAAATGTGTGTAAAGTACTCACCCATCCCTCGTCGTTGGGAGGCAGAGCTCCCCTGATTGCTCCGCGAGGGATTCTTGCTGCTGCCCCCTCCTCCAGCTCTCAAACGGGCTGGAACCACCTTGGCGGCGGAGTCGCGGGCCTCGAAGGTCATCACGCAGGAGGCCACCACTATGAACCCACCGAATCCCATGACAATGGGGCCCACGTAGGCGAAGTTGTTCAGATGGAAGCCCTTCAGGTCGTTCTTCACCCGCACCGTGACATTCCCCCGCAGCTCCGATCCCATCGAGAGGTGATCCGCGTAGTAGCCCAAGGTGGCCATTCCGGCACCAAGGAGCATCAAGGTGAGGCCCAGGATCAGCGCTCGGCAGGCGTGCCACAGGCACTTCGAGGACATCTTGCCCCGCACCACCTGCACGTTCCACGTGGCCCCGGATGCAGGATGAGCCCGTCGCAGGTTCCCCAGCGAGTGCTTCCTCTTGGTGGTGCCACCGCCACCGGAACGACGGGATGGCATTGCGGCAGCTCCTCAGTTCCTTTGTCCCCAAGCGGTTCTCATTAAAGTGGATTCTGGAAGAGAGATGCGGAGATATACGTTGGGGTAAGACATCCATACTGGCACAGAAGAAATAATTTCACGATTCTTAATAGTGTGGTATTTACAAATCAATGTATTTCAAAAAGCAAAAAAGTGAAAATGTGGATGTGATGAAGTGCATGAAGAAGACGCTCTTAAAAGCAAGAAGAGTTTCGTCTCGAAAAGAGAAAGCGCTTTCTTTTGCAAACGAGAGTAAGTATGCTTGAATTCAAAAACTATTTCTCTTGAAGTCGAGAGCGTTGAGAACGGTATCTTCTCAGTGCTCTTATTACAGTGCAAGTGTAACGGTTATCAATCATTGCTGATAAAACTTATCTATAGTACTTATTATAGTACCCACATCCTCAATGCATTATATTTAATTTAGTGTCTTCGGCGAAGCGAAGTAGAATTGATTGGTGAGTAAACCGTCTCTAGTATTGTGAGCAAAATAATGGTTTTCCTATATTAATTTCATAGTTAATACGAAATGAGTGTCCAACCAGCTTACCATGATCAACAAATATTGATTGAAAACTTTAAAAAAGCAATACCGGAGTTCTTTAGTCAAAAAAATCGGCGCATGAGCTTAAATGATACCTATACTTTAATTGCTGAAATAAGAAAAAATGGCATCAAATTGGATATATACGAATCAATTCCGAATGCCAGTGATGTTACAAGATTGAACGAAGAGGTGAGACATTTAAAAGGTCAAGTTGCCATAAATGGCGCAGAATTGAATGACAAAAAAAAGTGCATGGAGGAAATGGAGTCTAAATTGAGGGCCAAGGAAAGAGAGGTTCAAAAGTCCGAATCAAAAGTTAAGGAGAAAACCAATGAAATTACAAGATTGCAGGAAGAGGTGGCTATCCTAAAAAGACAATTTGCCATAAATGGCGCGGAACTGAGTTCCAAAAAAATATTCACTGAAGAAATGGGGTATAAGTTGAGGGCCAAAGAAAGTGAGATATCAAGCTTAAAGGGAAATATTGCTGAACTGAAGTCTGCTGCTTTTGTGAGTTCCAAACAATTAGAAGAACATAATAAGTACAAATCCGACATGGAGGCTAAAGTGGGAGTTCACAAAATCGAGATATCAACTCTAACTAAAAAAGTTGCGAAACTGGAGTCTGCTGCCCTTGAAAGCTCACAAATATTGGATCACAATAACAAGTTTATAACCAACCTGATCTATGAAAACTCAATATCAAAGGAGAAACTGCAATCTGCAGCTTTTGAAATCCACAATCATGTAAATGAAAAGAGACGATGCAAACTAGAAATAATCAGTCTAGAGGAAAAAATTGTGAACCTGGAAGAAAGTTTTAAAAATGCAACGGAATGTCTACCCGATCAACTTAAATTTTTGGTATGCTCTTTATACGAAACGAAAAAGAAATGTTTTAATAAAGTATGCTCAATGCTTGAGTAAAAAATGTTAAGAATATGTAGCCCTTGAGATTCTTTCATATTTGTGATATGGCTAATATTTTCTATTTGTAATATTTCCTTTATTTCCTTTTGCCAATAAAAACTAATAAATACAAAATAAAACATTTGTTTTAAGAGTGTTATAACTATGTTTATAATTTACTTTTTAATTATATAGGAAGTTTAGGGTTGGAAGTCTACTCTTTCACAGAAAACTAAATCTAGATGGAAACGGAAAACAGGGGATTGTGGGAGGAGACACCCGCACCACCCCACCTGTTGTCCGAGGAAGGTCACCATGCGTTCTCTACGCGGTGCTCACGGCTGTTTGCAGGAGAGGAGGTGGACTCCCGGGGAGGAGGAGTCCCGAGGAGGAGGACTTGGACCGCCGGTGCAGCCTGCGAGTGCCGAACAATTAAAATCCAAGGCACAATGCCAGCACAGCGACGAGAATAGCTGAAGCGGCTGACAACCGCGTGACGGGGCTTAAAGAATGGCCAGCAGAATGGCCGACACTCCTTCAAAAGGGCCCAGAGTCGTCGGCCAAAGCCGCAATTAAAGCCAAACAAAACGCACGTAAGTCTGATAACAAGGCTCTCTGTCCCCAGTTCTTTTCTTCGTCGAGTGCGGTACTTGACACGCTTCCTCGAGAATCTGCAGCTTCTTAAATTTAGATACATATATATACATATGTTATGCATTCATCAGCTGGCACTTGAGCTAATTGCAGGGGATACACAGGTACTATGTCTGAGAAATGTAACGTCAAAACCTAATAAAAATCTTTAAATTATGCATTTGTCACTATGTTTTTGGAATTGGAATAAAGGAAACTGTTCTTTTCTGTGTATATTCAATTTAAAGATAATATTTTTAAACATATTTCTCGAATCTTAGGAATGTTTAACTTTTACCAAGCCGCTCTCTTTTCTGGGAAATTCAAGGATAAACATGCTTTTTCAAAATTAAGTATGCATGCAAACCAAATGCCACATTTTTGCATATCATGTATATTTCATTTTTTCACGCATTCATTTGGCTGTAAATTTCACGCGTCTGTGTTTGCTATACGTCGCCTGAGTTGTTTAATATAGACTTATATGGGCTGGGTTAAATTTAATGCGAATTATTGGGTTGTTTAACCGTTCTGTTCACTTTGGGATTAAAGTTTCATATAATTTTTGAAATCATAATATGTCAATGTGTGTAAAAGTATGCAGTGAAAAAATAACGTATTTTTAGAGAACTAATATAATATGTTGTGGCATACTTTTAGACACCTCTTTAGGTGATTTTAAAACCATGATGATTCGTGTGGTTTTATTATCCACTTTATTGGCCGATCAGGCTGATTTGGCTAAAGTACCAGAATATTACCCCCATATCAAACATAAAGTATCGTTGAAATCGAGGCATTTCTGGGGAAAACGCCAACAGGCTTTGCTTGCTGAGGGATTCTAGGATGGCTTTGGTGGCTTACTTGTTGGTTCGTTCTTGGAATTCCTTGGCTGCTCCTGTTGATGTTAGTGCTGGTCCTGCTGCTGCGAGAGCCTTTTGTGTGACCTAAAAGCAGATTTGCCTTCGCTCCGTCTGTATGTATACTTGTGGCTTGAGCATATATTTTCGCGATTCGGAGTGTGAAAAGCCCACATGTCATCGTCTCCGTTGACCCCTGAGCTTCGTGGCCAGCATTGTAGCTCCTGGTCCACCAGTCAGTGGGTTCCGGGTGATTGCTAATTGGGAGTGTGATTAATTTTCACAGGTGAAAACACAGGTTCCCGCAGGCTGTGGCTGTCCTTTTCCCGACCTGACCACTCGATTTATTGCCAGCTGTGCGAGACGTCTGCAACCGAGCAGCTTCCACGCGCGTCTGATAAGACGAGGTCCCTCTGAAGTCCCAAATCCGAGATACCACGGACCCCACAACAGAGGCCAATCATCCCTCGCCTTATCCACTGTAACTACAACGACTCTGCTGCAAATTGGTCTAACGCAACAGTGGAAATCCACTCTTAACCCTGTGTGAAGTGCTCTGTTTACTTCACAGAACAAGTAAGGGAGGTTTTACTGTGCTCTAAATTAGTGGCGCCCTCCGACGTACTTTTTCCATTATGGGAAATCCAAAATTTTACATACACCACTTTTATAGTAAGTGTCTTATGCTAAAACTGCTTCGTTTAAAATTGTGTAGGCTTACTTAAAAAATATATATTTATCAAAACAAGTTTACTAACAAAAAAAATTGAAACCAGAATAAACGTAGTAAAGTTTTCTACTACGGCAGAACAATAATGAAAGATTTTAATAGCTTTTTATAAAAAAAGTCTTATACAATAATCGAACTGCCTCTTATACCTTTAATGAAAATATGACATTTCTTTATGGAAAGAGTCTTTTACCAGAACTGCTTCTTATACAGTTGTCGCTATGCAGAATGGGGGTCAAAGAGAAAGTCGAGGTTGGTGTTACCAGGTTAGGAAAAATATGATTCATGTTCTTGAAGAGGAAGAACACATGGCGCCTAGATTCAAAAATATGAAATTTTTTAGCTTTATAAAAGTGTAGGAACAGAGAAGAACGAGAATGGATATTATAAAAAATAATATTATAATAATAATAAATTAAAGAAAAAATAAATGATTGAGATTAAATTAGAAGAGGCGATTTTGGCAGTACAGTTTAAATAGTTTCCTTAAGCAGAGCAGAATTTAATTAATTCGTGAGTAGAATATGTTAAAGCCAAAAAGATAACAAGAATCGTTTGGTGATACTGAAAAAATAAATATATTTTATGGGAGAACATAAAACTACAGGAAACTGCTGATTAAGAATATGATAACGGAAGTTGTCCAAAACGCTAATCAAACCCTTGAACAATTCTCGACGGTCTGTTGAGAACGTTTTAAAATCAGTTCGCTCAAAGAATTCGACCGAATCGGTTCGGCAACTAAAAATGCAAAAGTCTAGCAAAAATTTTTTATTTGGATATTTTTTAATATTGACTGGGTTTTTCCCAGCTGATTCACAGCACGAACAGAATGCTGGTTCAGTGTGCCTTTTGGAGAATGCGCCAGTGCAATGTGGAGCCTTTTGTTCTTCCCTGCTTCATCCTGTCTACGATCACAATTTCAAAATGCAGCGGCAGTGGGTTGAAACCCAGGAGAGGCTGGGTCGAATGGAAAACCAACTATTAGCCATACAGAAAGCCCTAGCTGTCGTTAAACTTTCACCGGACGTGCCAGAGGACGTAAAATCGAATGTGACAGTCGGCAAGTTTGAGGCGATCAATTCCAGACAGTTTTACATCGGGAAAAAAAATCTTCAGGATTGGAATACCTCAGCGGACACTTGCCTTCAAATGGGAGGATATTTAGCATCCTTCCAAAGTCAAGAAGAGTTTGACCTTGTCAAAGCCAAGTTAAATAGTCAAGATTCCTACTGGCTGGGCATCCATAATCAGGATAATAATAACACCTTTACATCAGTTTCCACTGGCCAGCCAGCCAAATTCATAGAGCTCCCGGCTAATATATTTCATAACTGCCTAAAAAGTTCCTGTTTCGTCCTTCTGCACGGCGGCAAAATGAGCATTTCAGAGTCGCACAAGAAGGCTAATTACATATGTCAGGCGGATGATCTGTAGTTTAAAATATACCTTTATAACGTATCCTCAAATATTTGATAAACTCTATTAAAATTAGAAACAATTTCTTATCTATTTAAAATGTTTAATGAATTTTAAAGCTTTTAAAAAGACTCACTTATAAAATTTAGGGTTGAAAATATTTTAAATTAAAATGAACAAACATTACTTTATTAATATTTTCATTAATTGTAATTATTTTTTTATACAGAAATTGTAAAAACTTTTGTATCTTAGAGATACATTTTGGAAAGTGATAGGGTTATATAGCTTACTCTCAGATACTGCTTTACACTGCTTTACAACTGCCTTAAACTGCTTTTTCCGAACTCAAACCGCCCACACTAAGCACCCCCTTCAACTCCGAAAAGTAAATCCACCAGAAATGCCAAAAATCAACACGCGGGGGTAAAAACTCAACGAAACAAGGACATGCGCAGATGAAATCGAAGAGAGCCTACTGTGGGGAAGCCGAGGACAGGACGAACAGGACATTAACAACAATTGAACCCAGTTCCTCAACCAGTCATTGGCGGAGTCTTCAATCGCGTAGACGTTCCTCGCAGAGAACCGGATGCCGAGAATTCCGATTCCCCGATTTCGAGAAAGTCGGTCGTCTATTTTGTACGTGATGCAGTTGAAACCGTCCCTGCGATTCGCCTTCGTTTCGGTGGACCATCTGAAGAATGCATGAGGACTAAGGGTCTCCAAATGCCAAATGCGTTCCCCTCAGATCCAACTTCAGATCCAATCCTTGTGTCCTTCTTTTGTTCTTAAGTGCATTCTATAATCGGGTGTGCCAGTGAGTCCCGAAAAAATGTGAATTCCAAATATATTAACAAAAAACAACCAAGAGTGTAGTTCATCCTAACGATCGTTCCTAGAGCACACATATTAAGCTAATCAATAAGGATATCCCTGCTCTATGTGAATTAATCAAGTTGATATTTACGTGACTCCCGAACGGAAAGAAAAAACAAATGGCCAAAGTGCGTGAGACGCCATAGGTGACCCCAAAACGAAAAGAAAAGGTGACCCCAAAAAAGTAAAAGTCGGCGATAAAGAAATCGAGTCCAATGCAGTTTGTTAGAGCCGACTACGCCAGACTGCAAAATGCGTTTGAATGAACCAGCTGCAAAAACGCGACCCAGAACTAAATCAACGACTGAAGCCACCAAGTTCTCATCATCCGGGGGTGACCTTCACCTCGAATGTTCCATTTACAACCTGATCGGGCTGCTCCTACTCATCACCACGATCATGGGCGGCGGATTTGTTCAGGCCAAGACCATTTACGACACGCTTAACAGCAGGATTCAGGGCCTGGAACCCCTGGAAACCTCGAAGGTTCCCCTGCAATCGACGGCAGCCACGCCCACTGCCCCCGCCCACGCCCACATCCAGGTGTCCACGTTACGGAGTAGTTACGGTAGGCAAATTGCGAAATTGCTACTTGCTAGCTTTGAAATGCGGTTAATGCATAATTATATAATTGGTTTTCAATTATCCTGCTGACTCAGTTGGCCCGCAGGCATTGTCTTCGGACTGGTGTCCAAAATACGTCTCGCAATTCCACATATCCTTGACTCAACCACTTGATAGGACACCTCTCCCAGGCACTGAAAGTTATGGTTTCGAAAAGGAGGTCACCACAATTAGGGTTACTTAAATCCAGAGAAGGGGTTACTTAGAAATATACCAAGGGTTTTTTCCTGGGGGGAATTTACAACAGTTTATTTTGCACTTTTTATTAAACAGTTTTTTATGGATATTTGAAACGTATTTATTTTTTATATATGGAATAATTTCTAGAATTGAATTCGTTAAAATCTTGTCCCTAAAATCCTGTTTTCGTTAAAACAATACTTATTCTTTTTATTTTTATAAGATGATATTGGGAACTGAAATTGACTAAAATATTCTGTGGAACTTAACAATAGTATTTTTAGACGATTTTAGTAGGTACTTGGATTTATGTTTCATAAAATAAAAATGTGCATTCTTTAGTAAGGTAATTTCCTTAGGAACCACATTTTTGGTGTATTTGCCTAACCATGTTATTATCTACAATTGTGCCACAGAAATCTTTAGAGATTGGAAATCAAATAAAACATTTCATTGCGGAATGTTTTACATATCTTTTCTAAGATGAATATGTAGAATCTCAATTTTATATTGCCTGTCTGGTTCTTTATTATTGTGACCATTCATTAACAATTAGCTACATTTTTTTTAAGATATTAAATATTCTTTTTATTTTAAAACGTTTTGTTAATGTTATGGATTCAGTCGCATCCAAAGCTTTAAGCAATAAATTAAATTTGCAAGACGCAGAAATTGGCTTTGCTAAATATCAATACATCAGATGACTGACAAAATATTTCTTTATTGACTTTGGGAGAAGCAAACTTAACATTTGTTTAATCCCAGGAGGTTTCAGTGTATTTGGTACAAACAAACAAACTCCCCCACACTTATCGGCAAACTTGGCATTACCATATAGACATACAGCTATGTTCAAAAGAATAATATATTAATTTGCAAAAGAATAAATTATATTAACTTGTGTAAGTGATTGTAAGGCGAATTGATCAAACTTTTTTAATCACAAAGATATATTTTAAATATTATAAAATTTTTCTGAGTTAACAATTTTTTTTAATATTTAAATTAATGAATGAACAAGAAGGTTTTTCAAAAATAATATTTTAACTTTTGGAACTTGTGAACATTTTACCAATTTGATTAAAAAGTACATGGATTCACATTCATTTTCACAAATATAAAACATTCAAAGTTTTTTTTTAAAGGCAGAAGGCATAAAGTAATTTAAAATGAAAGTCGATCCGATGCTATTATTCTGAACACAGCTGTGTATACACTTGAGCGGATGAAGCATGTCATCAATTCTCAACTTTCGCCCACATCTCCGTCTGTCTGTCTCTTTCGCAAAATCAAAACCCATATTAGAATGAAATCGATAACTCCTTTCCAGAGGACTCGGATGACGATGGCGGGGATACGGATTACGTCATCCCAGATGGTCAGACCTCCACAGAGGCGATCCTGGAACAGGATAGCCCTGGCCGGGGCCAGGATCTGGAGTCGTTATCCCTGCAGGCAGGATCGGGCACAGTCTCCCCAAGGACAAATCCCGATCCCTCTGGACACAAGAAGAACGGCTCCTTCCAGCAGATCGGCAGCCAGAATGTAAATGCCTTAGTGCCGGCCACGGTGGCCACCACTTCATCCGGCAGCTCGTCGAGCGCCAACGCCTCCGCCTCCTTGGCCACGCCCACAGAGCCGGCGAGGAACCGGAGCACCGGCCACGTTCGCAACTCCGCCGTCAAGGTGGACAGCAAGCATCCTCTGTCCAAGGGCCAGAAAACGGATGCACCCATGTTGAACTACATCTTCGACACGTTCTCATCGGCCAACAAGCATCACCATCACGATCAGAGGTGAGTTCGGTGGGGTCAGATTATAAAGTCATTTGCAATGTACATCAATTTTTCAGTATAACTAGACGATTTTTTGAAAGAAAATAGATTCCAGTGAAGTATTCGAGACAAAATCAGGAATAAACCAATTTCATGATTTAAATTTTGAAATTTATAATGATTATGTTGTGAATTAGTCAATCTTCAGGAACTTTGAAAATATTTTTCGAATTGTTTTAAGATAAATCAGGGGCGAAACCATGGGGTGATATGGGGGATATATCCCCCAATAGTGCAAATAAGTGGAAGTAACAAATATGTTAATATTATAATAAATTTTTATTTATATTCTCCCCTAAACCAAATCCTGTATCCGACACTGATATAAATATATTTCATTTTTGATTGTTGATACCAATGTTTTTCGTATATGTATGCAGGTATGGTCCCCACTTCGAGGATGTGCAGCGGGTTGGTCAGGCCACCAATCTCACCGTGCAAGCGGGATCCAGCATCCACCTAAACTGCAGGATCTCACTACTGCAGGATAAGACTGTAAGATGGATACTTTATCAAAAGCAATTAAATAGAATATTAAATTTGAAGCGTTTGTCTTAACTTTCTTTTCTCCTCATTTGCGTTCATATATAAAGACCCATTTTGCCATCATTTGAATTAATAGGCTATATTATAATTCATATATTTATAATTTTTTATAATACAATTTTTTTTAATTTATGCAAATTTGTTATATAAGCAATGGTTTTCGTCTTTCTCTTCAACATACATTCATATTGCATATTAGAAATTTGTTTCTAACTTAATATTCAAAAACCCAAGATAAAATGTACGTTAACATCTTCATCGTCTCCTCCAACAAACAGGTCTCTTGGGTGCGCCACAACCCGCAGGATAGGGCCAATGGCAGTGGTATTGGTAATGGAAATGCCCTGGACCTGCTGACAGTGGGCATGCACACGTACACGGGTGATAAGCGCTACAAAATGGAGTTCCAGTACCCCAACAACTGGCGACTGAAGATTACCAACGTGAAAAAGGACGACGAGGCCATATACGAGTGCCAGATCTCAACTCATCCGCCCCGCGTCATTCAAATTAACCTGCATGTGAATGGTAGGCATTGAACTCTTAAATTCGCCAGGTAGAGAACTCATTGATGTGGTCTTATAGCTCCTAAAGTAATGATAGTGGACGAGGTGGGGGATCCGCTCCAGGAGAAGTACTACGAGATAGACTCCACCCTGCAGCTGTCTTGTGTGGTGCGAAATGTGGCCATGACCAGTTCTGTAGTCTATTGGAAGCACATCGACAGCATCCTCAACTATGACGTAACTCGTGGGGGAGTAAGGTGAGTGGGTGCAGCTGGAAAATTTCAGAAATCATTAAAATATTAAAAATGTACATGTATTGAGACATATCGGGGTCATCTTGTTGCAAAGACAATACATGGAATCTTAAGACAGGGCTTAAACTTAAAGTATTTAAAAGTCTAGCAGGATTTTGTCATACTCAGTATTAATTAGTTTGTGGATACTTAACCTTTTTAAAATTTTCAACTAATTTGTTAAATCTGGAAATCAATGAAATGAAAGCTTATAAAAAATATACCATAACATCTTTGGGCCTGTAACCGTTTTGGGTCACCTGCTTCAAGAACTAATTTAAGGACATTTTTACAGATTCGGACTTATAGAAAATTAAATCATAAGCTATTCAAAATAGACCGTTTTCTTGTGATGCGCTCAGTAAAACAATATTTGGGTCACCTTTCCTTAGTTAAAATCCTACCAAAACCCTTTCAGCGTCAAAACGGAACTGATGGAGGATGGAGCCAACTCGACGCTCTCGATAGCGAAGATCAGTAAAACGGACTCTGGCAACTACACCTGCTCCATCAGCGAGTTCCAGAACTTTACCATAGTGGTGCACATTCTGAATGGTGAGTTGGGTATAATAATTAATAATGTTAATAGGTATTATTTCTGAACCCATATCTGCTTGCAGGCGAAAGCTTTGCGGAACTGCACCATGGCGGCGCGGGTGGGATCCGAAGCACGTGGTGGAATCTGGTGATGCTACATTTAATGGCACTCCTGGTGCTACATAGTTTAAAAGGGGAGTTTAGCTAAGGTAGCTTAAGGGGCAGTAAACAATTTGAGACAACATCGTTTTTCCTGTAGCACTTTTTGTTGATTAATTGTAAAGATTCTGAATTGGATAGGGCAGTTATTAGAAATAACTTAAAAACGCAGCCTAAGTTTAACTGGCTATTATAGATATGTTTCTACGTCTATCATCAATTTGTACATGAGCAGGCACGCCTAGGATTAAGCTAAGATTAAGCTCGAGTGTATTTGAGAACTTGGAGAGAGAGGCCAACGAATTTCCCTAGCAGAATTTCACGAGGTCAGAGTCTATGGCATGGCCCAGATCTAGTTGATACAGGAATGTAAAGCATAGTGTAATCTAAGTCACTGCAAGTTCGTTATCACAAGCTTTTGCAGCAAGGATCCGAAGACACCCTGTGGGAACTACTCAATGTTGAACTAGTATAAAGTGCAATACGGTCATATACATATTATATACATACACACAACCACACGAACAAAAGCATCGGTCAAATGATATGTTAATAAACGAATACTCGTATGTATGCAATAATAAAGTGAACTATAAATGAATGCGAATGGAATTTAAATTTAAACTTAGCGGGAAAATCGATACTGATGGGGTTTTTCGAAGGTTGCCGGATGGTCCAGTTTAGGTGGAATAAATTTCATCAAGTTAAAAATATTTTAATTTTTTATATAATTGTAGTGTTATTATCTTACCCGTAGCTGTAAGATGTATTCACAAAAATTGTTCTTGCATTGGGTTTAATCAGCGCTCTCAAAAAGCGTATATATGTACAATAAACAAGATTAGCCTACGGAACATAGAGCAAACTACACCCATATAAGACCTTTAATCTAATCGCAAAGAAGTCCATTTGATGTATGTTTTATAAAATCAAATCGCAAGAAATCTTTTTTCATAATTATAAACATATGTACATAGCTTTTGCGTTTAAAAATAGGCCAGCTTAATTTTAGCCACTAAGACGTGGTTGAGATAATAATGGAACCTTGAAATCATTTACAACTTGGCCTTGGCTTTACGGCTGGCAAAGTCCATGATGGCCTGGAAAAATTCCGGATGCTGGAACTGTTGGAGTAGTTGCTTGCACTCCGATTCGTTGGCTCTGATGAGATTCTCCACGAATCCCTCCTTTATGAGGCGTTTTCCTTGCAAAAGGGAGTTGGCGGGCAACTCGGAATACTGACGCAGCTTGGGCCAAACCACCGAATCCAGTTCGGAGGTCTTAAAGATGCGTGAAACAAAGTTGAACTGATATGCCTCCTGGGCACTTAGAGGTTCGTTGAGGAGCAGAGTTTCCGATGCTTTGGAGCGACCCAAGATCAAGGGAAGCATATAGGAGGAACCTCCTTCTGGGACTAGACCCAATTTGGTGAATGGGGTGTAGAAGTAGGCCTAGGATGGTATAAACTGGTTATATTCGTGTCCAATATTGGAGGTAAAATCAAAATTCACCGTTTCGGAGCACCAGGCCACATCGCATAGCCCCACAATGGTGGCTCCAATTCCGATTGCTGGACCGTTTACCAGGGAAAATACTATCTTCTTACAGTTCACAAAACTTAGAACCATGGCCTGCAAGTTAGATATATTATAATAAAATGACCAAATACCTATCTTTATCTATATCCTACCTTAAAGGTAGCATTGGATTGCTTGAAGAAGGCGTTGATATCGTCACTCTTGGAAGACTGAGTGAGGTCATTTCCGGCCGTGAAGATGTCGCCGACGCCTGTGAAAACCACCAGGCTAACTCCCTCATCGTCGTTGACCTCGGTCAGAACCCGGGTCATCTCCTGGTAGGTGAACCTGTTGATGCAGTTCTTCTTTTTCGGGTTGTTGAATTTCACGACGAGCAGCTTGCCCTGCTGCTCCACAAGAAGTTGCTGGAATCCTTGGTACGACATCTTGATGGAAATGTTCTGGACAGAATGAATAGCAAAGTCCAATTAGGGGATCATTTCACTCTGATTGCCGGTGTTTATTGTTGTTAATTCCATCCGATTACTGGGGCATCAGGGGTACTCCCACTCTTAGTAATTGATTAGCCTAAAGGTGGGCGATAGTTGGTGAAGTGTTCACTGCGATAGAAAACTGTTTGTCTTATTTCAACTATTTTTTAAAAATTACTTAGTATCTGGTCAATCCCGCAGTGTTGTCGTGACCAAAAGAAAAATCATCTGTCGGATGATGAACTCAAAAAGTAAGAGCAACAATTCACGACAATCTTGTATTTCCCCATTACCTTGTTTGGCAACTACTACCCGTCGATCTGGCAACTTTGAAAGGGCGCCAAAAATTCAAAGTCCAGGAAAAGTGAAAAAAACGTTAGTTTTATTTTTCTTTTGCTGTACAACATTCATCTTATGAGAAATACTGGTTATTCGCTAATTTCATCAATCACTGGGACGTTTTGCAGTTCGGAACACTTTCGTTTCCACAATGCGAGCTGTTCCCTCAACACTTTTTCCTTGGCGGCAGCACGGGTCAAGAGGACTTTAGCTTTCTGGAGGAGTTGTGTCTTCTTCACCAGCTGCTCCTTGATGAACTTGAGCTCCTCGTTGGCAGCATCCTATTATAAGTTTAGAATACTATAATAATGGGACAGCAAGTGGAACATGGGATAGTGCATACCTTACTACGACCACCGCATTGGCTGCACTTTGTTCGCTTTTGGAGCTCCTGCTGCAAGGCGCTAATCTTCTCCAGCAATTCTCCATTTTGCTGCTGCAATCGAGCCGCATCCGCCGGTGTGGAATCCGTGGAGCTCCTGGACTCCGTGGAACGTCGACCATCTTTCAGGAACTTGTTCTCCGACCGCAACTTCTCTACGAGATTGCGCAGCGACAGAATCGTCTGTTCCGCCGATTGTCCCTGGTTGGTGCTTACTTTCAGGCCAGTGCACTTGCACAACTCTCGACGAGACTCATTGCGGGCCATTTCCTCTTTCAGGGCAAGGATATAGCTGTATATAGAAGAAATGGATCTTTAAGTCGATTTCTAAAGAATTCTCGTTTTTTGTAATGTAGAAAGATTCGTTTTTTATCAAACTTCAGTATGTTAACTTGGTTTAAAGAGGGAATCCATCAGAATAACAATACTCACTCCTCCAAGTGTTTGATCCTCTTCTGCAGCCGATCGCTGCTGTCTCCCTGTCTCAAGAGATCCGAATCCAGTTGCAGCTGGAGGTTCCTGGCCTCCAGTCGGATATTCTGGGCCTCGATGGCCTGGCAGCGTTCCTGCATCTTCTCTAGCTCCGTGGTCAAGGCATTACTGCCCCTGCCCTCCAGTTCCATGGCGATGATCTTTCGTTGCTGCAGTTCTATGCGGGACTTGAGGGCCTGTATGAGATCCGCCTGACTCTGGTCAAAGATCTGGGTATGATGGTGCGCCGGGGAACTGCACTCGCTGCTGGGACCCGTATACGTTTCCGGACTCTCCGAGGGAGACGGGGTGAACTTGCTGACACCCACATGCTGGAGATTCGGACAGGATGGAGTGCGGCAGCACTTGAGGTTGTTTGAACCGGAACCCGACCCCATTGAAGGACCATTCCTCCCCAGTTTGGACTCCATTATTTGCTTGTCCTTTTCCAAACGGGCAATGGTGGTGCGTGCTGCCTGCAGAAGGGTTCGAGTCTTGTCCAGGGCCAACTCTGTTTCCTCCAATCTCGCCTTGGTTTTCTCCGCCTGCTGCTGGTATCTTTTCTGCTTCTCCCAAAGTTGAACCTCGTTGGCACTCCTCGTGCGCTTGGCCTCCAGCAGGGTCTGCTGTCGCTGCAATTGACCGCGTGCCTCATCCAAATCCGTCTCCAGCTGCTGGATTCTCTTCTGCTGGTTCTCGTTCTTCACCCTGGCATTGAGTTCCGTTTTTATAGAGACGACGGGTCGTTTGAGCAACTGCTGGCGAAGCGACTGACTGAGATCCCTGGCCTGCTTTTCGCGCTGGGTGACATTGGTCAACTGGCGACGCAGTGCCTCCATTTGGGTGTGATAGATCTTGTTGGTGGCCTCGGTGCGATTGAGATCGGCAGCGAGTTTGGCTATCTGATCCTCCGAGAAATTGGAAGTGTCCTTGATATAGCGCTGCTGGTCGTCCTAGAGGATTAAAATAAATGTATTTCAATGATCCAACAATTTATATTACTTATATTTACATGGAAGTTTTTGAGAGTATCCATCAGATCCTTGATATGCTTATCTTTCTCATCCAGAAAGACGCGTAGCTGATCCAGTTCCGGACTCGCATGGCTCTCGACGGATTTTTCCCGCTCCTGGCAGAGTTTCAACCTGATTTAATAGAATGTTATTATTTTAAAATATAATTTTAGTTGATCCTAAAGACACCGCGGTCAGAACTCACTTTTCTTTCAATATATCCACCTCCTCTTCTCTAGTTTTCAGGTTCTTTTCACTGTACTCCAGCTTGTCCTTTAGATCCTTGATTTGCTTGTGTAGCGTGGGCAGTTCCTTGAGCTCTTCCGTATCCTGTTTTTCCGCCTCACCTTCTGGCTCTTGAGATACTGGATCTTCCGCACGCACTTGCACTTCCACCTCTTCTGGCGGCCTCTCCACTGAGCTACTTTCAAAGAGTTCCTCAATCTTCTCATCCGTCAGCTCATTAACCGAGTTCTCGGAACTGGAACTCGAGTCGGTCGAGGAGACTCGCTCCAAAGCGGCCTTGGGTTTCAGTTCCAGCTTGGCCTTGAGCTCCATAATCTCCGCATCCTTGGTCTTGATGTTGAAGTTTAGGTTATTCACCGTCGCCCTGAGGGATTCGTTTTCAGCCGTCTGTTTGCTGATGGCCTGCTGACTCTGATCCCGCTCGGTCTGCAGGAGATCCTGGTACTTCTGAATGGACTGATCCTTCTCCAGGAGCAGGGTGTGGAACGACAGTATGGTCTTCTCCACCACTCCACTATGAGGACTCTCGGACTCGCGGCTCTCCGATCTGGAAGCCTCCAACTGCTTGCCAAGGACCTCGATGCGCTGATTAGCTTCCTGGAGCCTGGGATAAGGATTTAAAAATAAATTTGTAGTCAGTTATAAAACACCACAAATCACAATCATTTACTATTCTTAATTGTACTTACGTTTCCTGCATTTTCTGTAGCTCCTCACGGGATCCGCTCCTGCTGTCCCCCACTGCATCCGCCGTTTGAACGGATTGATTCTGTTGGATGAGAATGCCATTAGTTTGGACTGCCGTCTCCGAGAGCTTCACTGGATGCTCCAGAGTTTGGGTGGCCGTATCCAGGTGCGGATGTCTTCGCAGAGGCGATCCAATGGGAGATGATTGCCTGTCTATCAGCTGGGCTGCCCTCCTCATGGCCGGAATAGGAGGAGTCACTGCCTCCGTGTTGGTTTCCGCATCCACCTGGGAGTGGGTTTTCGGGACTCCTTTACCGAACTGTGCCTCGATAGTGCTCCAGTGCTCAGTGTCGGTGGCCTGTCGTATCCTCAGTTCACCCAGTTCCCTAAGGAGCTCCGCCTGCTTGGCTTGCAGGATTTCGCAGCGCTGTTCCAAGAGTCTCGTCTGGGTTTCAGACTTTATAAGCTTTACCAGCTGCTGGGAACTCTCCTCCTTGGGTGAAAACTTCTTCTGAACCACGGCGGTTACATCATCAATCAGGGCACTGTAATCTTCTTGCCGCTGCTGCACTTGCTCCTCCTCCAGGCGACGTTGGAACTTTTGGTAGGCGAACACAAAGTTGGTGAGGAAGACCAGTGGAGTGAATTTGGCATATTTGTCTTTGAGCATAAATAAGGAATGCTGCAGGAATCTGTAAGATATAAAAGTGATTGAGTTACAAAATGGTTCAAACAAATAATCCTGGTTTATACTTGTGCTTAATATCGCTATTGGTGCGCTCTTGCTGGAAGTCCTGTTGAGCTTGCTTCAAGGATACCTCGCTGGCCTCTAGTTGGTTTTGCAGGGAGTCCGCCTTTTGCTGCAGTTGCTCTCGCTCCGTTTCCAAGCGGGAGAACTCGGCTTTTACTACAATGATTACAATTTTTTTTTATTAAGAATTATTTATTCAATTCTTTTAGGGACAATGGACCGTATAATGGGAATCCAATTTGACTTACCACTATCCAAATCCCTTTGTACCTTGGCCAGCATTAGTTTCTCCTCGGAGCTGCTCTGAAGATCGGCAACCAGATGGCGCAGGTTGATGTGGTTGTCTGTGATATCATTGAGTAGCTTCTGCTGGGAAAGGATCTAAAATGGTTGAAGGGTTAGTATTTCTGTAAGTAGACATTAAGGGGAATCTCCAACCTGTTCATTGGCTACTCGAAGCAGACCCTCCAACTGCTTGGTCTCCCTTTGAAGATCTGCCTGTTTGCTCCTCCAATCAGCCAACTCCTGCTGATGCTTCTCAAAATCCTCGGCTGTAATATAATCCAGCTGATAGTTATCCTTGATAATACCATACTCTGTACATATCTCCGGGGGTTTCAGCTCCCCCAGCATTTGTTCCACCGCCTGACCAAGTTGCATGCTCAAATTGGCATTGCGTTGCTCGAGTTTTTGCTGCTCTTCTGGGGTGTATAAATTCCTTCGACACACTCTCTCCAGTTCCTCCTTAGTTCTCAATAGTTCAATCTTTTGAAGCTCTAACTGTCTTGCTAATAGAGCCTTATCTTCTATAAAGCTGAGTTCCAATTTTCTGGTTTCAGTGAGCAGTTGATCGTAGTCCCTGCGCATATAGCTATAGGAACATCCTTGCTTTTCCAACTGCAACTCCAAGGTCATCAACTTATCATGAAGCTGCTGATTTTGGTTCATTAGTTCACTGCCATCGGCGGACATGTGGAGACGCAGTTCCTCGTAATGCTTCCGGAGAATGGATAGTTCGGCCAGGACCTCGCTTCTGGGTTCCATTTCGGGATCTGGGATATTGGGTCGCTGCAAGCCCTCCGTCGCCTCAGTGGGCGAACTTGGCCTGGTGGCTGTATTCACAACGGGATCCTCCTCAACGGGCTGCTCCTCTCCGATCTCTGGGACATCGCAGAGGCTTTGCACAGAAGACAGTTCGCCGGTTTCCGAGTCGCTGGAGTTCTGCTGCTGGAGCAGCTGACGCAGTGCCTCCTCCCGGGCTTTTAGCTCCAACAGTTGGCACTGAAGACGCTGTGGAGTGGCCGTTCCACTGGGAAGAGCTTCGATGAGGCGGCGCAATAGATCGGAATCAATGGTTATGTGCTCTGAGGTAGCTGAAAGGGAATTAAATATGTACTTAAAATTTTAAAACTTTGTAAGTATTTAAAGACCTCCCCACTCACCATCATACTCCCTCAGCTTCTCCAGAATCTCGTACATCCCAGAGCGTAGCGTTTCATTCTCGGCCAGGACTTCGTCGTAGCGATTCTGCATCTCGGAACTGGCTGCTCCATCGCCTTGGCCACGTCTTGGCGCCTGCAGGGATTCATTCAAGGGCTGGGGGTTACCCTGCTGCAGCTCCAGGAGCTTCCGCCTGAGAATAAATAAGGTATCAATGGATAGGTAAATATAATTAACACAAATAATAGCAAGAATTATTTTAAAATGTAGTGTCATTTATAGTTAACCTCATATTTGTGCCCAAAACAAAATAGTTTCAAGATGTGAGATATCATACCTCAATTCACTCTTGTCCAACTTGAGTTGCAGACGCAGTTCCTCGGAGGTCCTTAGCTTAAGGGTCAGTCGCTCGATCTGTTTGTCCTTGTTGCGCTGCTTGGAGTGGACATTTTTGGCCAGGATGACCACATCATCGGGAATGCGGAGCTGGCGTCGCAACAGCTCGTTTTCCTGGACCACTTCGTGGAGGGAATTCAGTTCCTGGATGTAGCTCCTCAGCTGCTTGTCGCGTCCTGCCAGCTTTTGCTCCAACCCCGAGCAGCGTCTCAAGGCTGGAACCAAACCGTCTTCATCCCTTTTGTAGGACTCCAGGGCACTCAGGGCATGAAGTGCCTGCTTGGACTTGAGGACATTGTCCTGCTCGGCTGCCTCCAGCATCTCCGAGAGCTGCTGACTCCGGGCATTGGCCTCCCGGAGGCGCTCCTCGATCATCTGGCAGCAGGCTCGAGGCTGCTCCGGATCCTGGGATCGCTCCTTCTCCAGGCACAACTGGTTCATTACCTTCGTGGAGCTGACCATCTCCTCCGCCATCGTTTTTAGTTTCGCCTCCAACTTCTCGATGCGCTTTTCCCGGGATTCTAAAAGCTGCATAAAATAACCAAACAGTTTTTGAAATTTATTTGTTTTAGAACCTAAAAACTAATACATTTTATATTTCAAAAGGATATATTTATTTTGAACCTCAGTCTATACTACCGAACAAGTAGCTCTTGAACAAAAAATTTAAATGATCATAAAGTTTGTTAAATTACGAGTTCAAGGAGTTGTGTCCACTAAAACCAAAAATATGAATGCTATATACAAATTCCTTCTTACATGTCTCAGTTTTATATGATCCTCCTGCTGTTGACTCTGACTACTGGAAGAATTGGTCTGAGGAGAGTTGATGCTTTTGCCCTCCAGCTGTTTCCTGAGACGCTCCACCTCCTTGTCCCGATCCTCGAGAGCCTGTCTCCATGAAAGGGACTTCGTTTCGTATTTGTCCAGGAACTGTCGCATTTCCAGCTCCTGCTTTTCGCGCTCCACCTCCAGAAAGGTGACATTTCCCTCCAAACGAGTGATCTCAAGGCCCTGCTGCTGTTCCTTTTGCTTCAAGGACTTGCGCTCCTGCTCCACCTTAGTGATGTCCTGGCTCAATTGCACTAGGTTCGCCTTGATGTTCTGCAGTTCGCGTTCGTGGAGGACTATGGTCTTCGATTGGGCTATGTTCTGGTTTTGAAGCGTCTAAGAAAAAGAAAAACTAATTTAGCATTTACCTAAAACTGGTTCTACAAGTTGCATTACCGATGAAACGACTGAAAAAAAGGTTTACGGCTAGAATAAATTTAATTAAGCTTAATTTTATTGCTATCGATTGACTGATTTAGTCAGTGCATCGATTCTTAAATGTAGACTTACTTCGTTTATACTTTGAAAAATTTGTGTAGGTGTATCTTACCTCAATTTCCTTTAAGAGCCTTTTAATGTGTTTGTTCTTGGAGTCGATGTTCTGGAGTAGCTGCTCCTGTTTGTCCAACTCGGACAGGGGATCCGATGAGTCCTTGTCGCTGATCTCGGCCTGCTGGGCAGCCTCCCTCAGGCGCAGCTCCAATTGTCGTATTTCCTCCCCCAACTAATGAGATGCTGGGGTTATTTAAGGATTCCCCTCACTATATTATATCACATATCTCACCTCCTTGGTCTTGCTTTTCAAGCCATCGCGTTCTTCCTCCAGCTTCTGCAGCATGCGCTTCAGCTTCTCATTTTCGTCCTGCAGGCGACGGTCGCTGGATACTCCTCCAGTTCCAGCTCCAGTGCCTCCATCCTGCAGCCGCTGAACCTGCTCGCCCTTGTACTGCAAAACGGCCAGGGTGAGCTCCAGGGTCTTCCTCAGCGACTTCTTGGGCAGCTCCTCGATGGACTCGGCCAGCTCGAGGAGTGTTTCATAGAGCTCCTGCTTCTGGCGCGCCGAAAAGTCGCGGAACTTGCGCAGGGATACGGTTTCTGGTATGTCCATGCTCATCCTGGTGGCTCATGGCCTCGCTCCTCGGCGGTTACTCACGTTCTGAGTGAAATTATTCCCCGATTTTGCACAACAGCTCTCCTGTTTTTCGTTTTTTTTTAATTTCCGAGCGGTTGCCATGACAGCTGGGGTCAAAACAAACTGGAGACCCGCTCAGGGGTTGCCAGTCCGGAAACGAGGGTGCCGGCAATGGTGCCTTTGTTTTTGCTGGCATTCTGTTTTGCTACCAGCTTCGGCTGCGTACAAAGTTTCCTGACAGGATAATTGCCTCCTGGGCGGCCAAGGATCCCCTAGGAGGACTTTCGGAGCAGGAGCTTCTTGGGCCCCACCACAAACAAAAATGAAAGGCGGTAACCAGGAAAGTGTTAATTGGCAAAGTGTCAAAGGCCGAGTCCTGAAATTGAAAAGCCATTTCGGTTTGGTGCGCCTTTTTCTCTCCTCCTCCTGAATTTTGTTAACTTCACCCACACGGAAAACAAATTTATCATAATTTGAAAAAGAATGAAAATCGAAAAAAATAATATAAAAGATTTAATTTAACTTATATAGGAACTTCTGCACCATTTATTTTCGATATTATTATTAAAATAAATTTAGTTGAAACGTTTTACTTTTAGATAATATTTGAACATGGTTTTGGAAAAACAAACCCTATACCTCAGAAATTCTCATTACCTTTTATAGAAGTTTAGGTAATAAATCCATAGGTCCTTTGTAGTAATAGGTAGGACATTATCTTTTTTGGACACTTTGGTAATAAACCTACATTATATCCTCGAATTTTGTTTTTCTGTGCTCTCCATCTCCTGTTTTGGGTAACTTTACCAACACCTTCTCCTGTTTCCAAACTCATCGAGTTGCCATCAACATTACGTTTGTCTACATGTGTAAGATAATTGAAACTAATGGCAAACGACTTTGGTTGCCCTCCCATTTGTGGATTTGCCCTCTGTGAATGACAGCTGGGCCGAAAATTGAAATGATACTTCAAATGGCCAATTATCCGCGAAGCTTTCTGGCCATTTAAAAACCACCCGAATCGGGTGAGTTTGATGAACCCAAACACGAACTCCCTCTAAAGCAAATGTGCAGTATTACAACATTGTTTCAACAGTAAAATAATATAAATATTAATTGATGCATATATTCAAACATTTAATGAAATTAATTTAATTTTAATTTAATGAAATTTAATTTTAAGCGCAGCGCAGACCCTTGTGGCTTTTTGCGTCCATTTGGAGCAGCATAAGCTCATATGTGACCAGAGTGGCCAGCATCTGGTGAAGATGGGTAAATATAATAATAAAAGTACTCTTCACTAAAATAATCTTACCCCGAAGAGACTCTTTCTTGTCAAATAGTACAGACGATAGCCAGACAGTCCAACAAATTCGCTGGTCAGCTGATCAGCGAATCTCTGGACTTCCTGGGTCCAGTCACCACTGGGCACCAGGTAGAGGGACTTCAGGGGCAAAAGCGAGGCATCGTGTACTTTAGAGGCGGTCATAAAGACCAGACTAGTCCTGGCCAGCAGGAAGATCAGCGAGTACCAGAAGTACACATAGTTAATGGGATGTCGTAGTTTGCTGAGCGATTTTAGACATAAGCACTTGATTTAGTTAAAAAAGTGTCTAAAAGGATGCCCCAAAATGTTTTAAAGATACACCTGTTTTTTACTACATACTTTTAGACACCTTTAATTTCGGTGGAAACCTTGATTAAAATGAATTACTCACGTGAAAATAGCTAGCGCCTGGTTACAGATCACATATACATTATTCGCACAGGATACGAAGACAATATTCGACATACTGGCATCCACCAAACTGGTCAGCTCACACAGCCGTATGTGATCCCGTCGGATATCGTACCACAGAGCATCCGGAACATGCTAATGGAAAAGTTGATTACTTAAAATTATTCAAAAGTTTTTCAGGCGTATCTTACACGACCCTCCAAAGCGCCCACTCTTTCAGCAAATTGCTGAAATCTTTGAGCCAATCCTATACTGGTAATCATTATGAAGATGTCCATAAAGTTCCATAAAAAGGTGAATGATCCATTTAACCACTAAAAAGAATAATAAAATATAAAAGGGGGTGCGAGTACAGGTGGCTTAAAGTATGCAACAATTATAACGTAATATTTATCATAGCATACTTTTAGACACCCTTAGCAGCAATTTAAAATATCTTAAATAATCCTCACAAATCCATAGCACATAGAGAAAATGTTAAGAGGCAGGAGAAACATTATGTCTGAGAACTCCTTCTTCAAATAAATGTCAAAGGTAATCTGTGACTGGTTCGAATAGCACTGCCAAACGTGCATGCTGTAACTACAATATCCAGAGGCATAGTACAGCATATGATCCCCTAAAAATGTATTTCAGATTTCCCGAAAATAATTTTGTGGATAAATTAAACAACTTACCCACTGCCAGAACACCCACGCTCAGTATAATAACGTTGACCTTTGACCGAAGGCTCCGCTTGCAACGTTTATAGGGAGGGAATAGCATCAGGATATCCAAGGAGCTCCAGGGTAACATTATATGCGACCAGGACCGAGCGAATCCCACGAAATTCAGCCAGTTGACCATGCCCACGATAAGGAAAACCAAGCCAACTATTGTATTTGTAAATGAGATTTGGATAAAGGACAAGACGTCTTCCCAAACTCACCCATATTTTTGGCATTTAGTCCAGCATTGAAGAGAACATTTGCACCGATTAAGGTCTTGATTCCACCGAGTAAGAGGAAGAGACCAGTGACTCCCAGGCCAAAACTCCTCACTTTAAACTTTACATCCTGGGGATCGCGACTCAGGATATTGGACAAAGGCATAATGCCGAAAAACTGGGCCACACAAAGATCTAAGGCAAATATTTTATTTACAAAAATAAATCTATTTTGTTTTTAGGCCCATTTAAAAGGATTAGGATTTAAAAATCCTAATCATTTCTGTGGAACCCGAATTTTCCGTTCACTTACATGGCCTGATTGCTCTATAAAAGGTGTCCAGCTGCTCGAACTCCAATCCTCCCTGGGCACATCGCCATCGCATGGCCAAAATAGCCTTTTGTTTTTGACGGCGCTCCTTCAGGTGCTTCAGGATGTTATCCGACGTCTTCGACATGCTGGTCAAGTCTGACCGCCAGTAATCCCCGTTTTACACGGGCATGTCTCATAATTGTTGTTTACCTGGCCAGCTTAGCCCAAAACCCGTAATTAGTGGCACTTCAGTGCAGACAAACTATTGTGGGGCTTTCGGAGCTCAGCTCCGCCTTTGAAAAGCTTTGAACTTGTTTAAATTTCGTGCCAGTGCAAAAAAGACCTTCGCTTTGAAAGGACTTACTCCAAATATTCGAAAAAAAGTCCCAGTTGGAGTTTTCTAACCGGAAACTGTATTAGCCTAAAGTTAAATAAGAAAGAAAATAACATTGTCTTTTGGAATGAACCTGTGGCACTTTTGAATACAAAATATAATGTTTGGCACACATTTTTAAAGACCATATACATTACAGTGTCAGAAGCAAAATCGTTTTAAAATATAAAAATATTACTATTTATAAATATATTCTTAAATTCAAGTTTTATAAATAAGTTATTATACCATACATGATTTACATTTTTTTTAGGGTTATAATTATAAAAATATTTCTTTAATATTCAAACATCGATATAAGTACCATTTCCCTTTTATCGATATTAAGCTAATATAAAACATATGGCTATTCAGAATGTTTTACAAGTAAACATTCAATGGATTCTACGTTTTTGGAGCTGACGAAACTGCTTCCCCGATGGGTGGATATAGAAAATGTGATTCAAAGCGAAGTCGAGGCGCGCTACATATTCAAAAGAGCCACGGATTACATTGAGAACTTCCAGTCCAGTGGCGATTCCGGGGAAGAAGAGACCAGATACCTTATATGTGCTTTAGTGGATAGGAACTGGGAACGCATACACACAGGACACTTTAGCAGGGTTCCTTTAAATACCAGGAAAATATACGCGATAGGTTGCTACTTTAAGGTATGGTGTATATATGTTTCAAGCTATCCTAACTGAAAATAAATTTCTTAGATTTTTTTCCTACTTCTTGAGAGCTCGAGTCCTGCTCAAAAGGAGCTATGCAGTGGGATCCTGGATGAGGCTCAACTATTAGGCTGCATGGAGGATTGGAGCGAACTGAAAGTCGCCCTGATGGATTACCTGGATAAGGGGAGATCAGCGGATTCCAGAAACCTGCCCATTCTGGAGTCATTAAAACGAATATCCTGCACCTGTGATATACCTCAATTAGAAGCTCCCAGCTTACAAGATTTCCAAACAAAGTGCTTTCTGGCAGGACAACCCACACTCCTTCTAAACACCATCCAACATTGGCCTGCTCTGCATAAGTGGTTGGATCTCAATTACCTTCTCCAAGTGGCCGGGAATCGCACGGTGCCCATAGAAATAGGTTCCAATTATGCCAGCGATGAGTGGTCGCAGCAGCTGGTGAGGATCCGCGACTTCTTAAGAAGGCAATTCGGAGGAGATAGGAGTAAGAGCCCCCAGGACATCGAATATCTCGCCCAGCACGAACTCTTCTCCCAGATACCAGCGCTCAAAGGAGACATATCCATTCCCGACTACTGTTCCATAAGCAAAGAGGATCCCCAGGGAGCTGTGGACATAAAAGCCTGGCTGGGACCAGCTGGAACCATTTCACCCATGCATTACGATCCCAAGCATAACTTACTATGCCAAGTATTCGGCTCCAAGAGGATTATATTGGCTGCTCCGGAAGATATCGAGAATCTGTATCCCCACGAAAGCGAGTTCCTAGCTAATACATCCCAAATAGATGTCTCCCAACTGGATCTGGAAACATACCCCTTAGTGGAGAAAGTCAAGTTCTACCACTTGCTCCTTCAACCTGGCGACTGTTTGTACATGCCACCCAAATGGTGGCACTATGTGAGATCTGAGGCCCCCAGCTTCTCTGTAAGCTTCTGGTGGGAGTAGAATTATTAAGTGCATTTATTTGATACTGTCTTTTTATAGGACCTGTTTGTGATTAAAGTTTTGAAGCTAACGAAACCAAAGAGTATTTGATTGGTTGTTCTAGAGTACAGATTCAGTCGTCTAATATTAAAAACCTACTTCAAATATCGAGAATTGGAAAAAAGATAATATTTTTGCAATGCGAAATAAAAATAATTTTAATATTAAACCTGGACAATCAAAATGTTTGAGTGGTTTGTGTTTGTTTTCCATATCAAAACCTCATAACGAAGCCTACAAATTAGCATTCACAAAAACTGCTTAGGAAGACCTAGATAATTCCAAAAGGTTCTTCCTCGTAAATATCCTATACTTGGAAATTCAAATACATTTCTGAGTAAATATCGCAAAATTAAAAATAGTTCAATCCGACTTCCTTAATTAAATACTACCGCTTTCTAATCTACCATTGACCGGCAGCTAAACAAACAGGTTGCCCTCTGACGTCATTGCAGTGACATCAGACATGATGTGGACTATCCGCCGAATAATGAGTCATCGAATCGATCGAAACTGGAGGAGTACTTTATGGTTGTTCTTTTAATAGCCACGACGCTTTTTGGGTGTGTTACTGTGGCAAACAAAACTTAACACATACGAATTAAATACAAAGAATTTCAGGCAAAAACATTATCAATAAACCCCACTATCGTTATCAATGGGTAGAAAGGTGTGTATGAGGATTAACATTAAGATGTGTGTGCTTTTTATCGATTTCAAATCGTGTATAATCTTTTTAAATGTGCCTGCTTTCGCTGCCCACCGCCACGTTATAAGTCTTATCGTTATTTAAATGTTGGACTCGGTTCCAGAGACCTTAATCATCCTTGTTTCCGGCTCCGCCGATGGTGATCTTCTTCTGCAGCTTGCTGAACTCCTCGGTGAGTCGGTCGTACTCGCGGTTGAGGCTCTCGGCCTGCGACTTGACCGCCTCCTTGTCCTTCTTCTCGCGGTTCAGATCGCCGGTGAGCTCCTGGACGCGTTCGCGCAACTTGTTGAGCTGCAAAATTCGGATTTCGTTTTGAGTTTTGATTGGGTTTTGGTTCGGTTCGAGTGTTTGGGAATGGTTATGAGGTGGGGGCTCTAGGTGGGGATACTTAGGACACTCGGGCGGTAAGTCCTTGCACACGTCTCCGCAGTCTTGACAGCTGTTTAAAGAGTTAACAAGAGGTTTGAAATTTCAAGTAGTGGCTTCGGTTTTTCAAGGCCCAACTTTGTGTTTGGGTGTGGTTTCAAAACGTTTAGCTGCGGTCAAAACAAAAGTAATCCTATGACCAAATTTTATCTTAATGAGTGATTTTTTGCAGTCATCCAACTGCTTTCGGTATTTTTTTAAGATAAGACCAGTCGGAATAAATCGAATCGATATTTAAGATATAGAAAATTTACTAGAAATCATAGTTGTTAGATGAATCTATAATATTACCATGGACATTTTTGCAGAAAGCATTGAATTTACGATACTTTCTTCCCATTGACTATATGACTACCCTATATTTTGACCACACCTTCTATATGCATTGCCATATCTTTACAGCTGGTAGTAGCCAATTGAACTCCAAAGTCTTATGTGTTAGCTCTCTAGACATGCCATTCCTGGGGATCGGATGCAGGTGGTAAACAGACGGACTTACCTCGATCAAAGTGGTGTCCTCGCCGGCTTCCTTGGCCTTCTCGGTCTTCTTGTCCTCCATCAGCGACCTGGCGGCCGCGGTGGCACTTTGGGCCTGCTTCATGGAGGCCTCGCTCTGGGCGAGCAGGTTGGCCTGGGCAGATACCAGGGAGACCAGTCGCCGGATGACCAGGACCAGAAAGATGGCGAACCCGGAGATGTAGAAGTTCCTCTGGGCGCGGAACAGCTTCATGCTGTGCTGCATCTCCACGTTCAGGTGCACCTCTCCGCTCTGCTCATAGTTGGAGTACTTCCTCATCTCGCGAATGGCCTCTAGGAGGAACAGGACGAGGAGTCCCATGATCAGGAAGAAGTATATGTGCGCCTGCTGGCCCAGCATGGACAGGAACTTGGACTTGAAGAGGCGGTTCCATTTGTAGGGACTTGCCACGGGCAGAACCAGCAGAAGGACCAGGGCGATTTCCGCGTAGAGGAATCCAGCGATCAAAGTCCAAACCAAACTCATTTTTGATGTTTAATTAGTTCCCGTTTTTCGATTTCGAGTTTTACTTTTTCACGGCTGCCGTCTGCAAATGTGCCTGAAAAATGTGTCCAAGTTAGCTGGTAGTTCTACGGATTCCGGACTGGCGATCTTGTGGCTATTTTTAAACTACGGCCGGAGAGCCTGCTGCTTACTTTAAATAGCAATAATTAAATCGCTGCCGTGATGAAATATGCGAATATTTTATGTAGTCACTGCGCGGCCACGTCAACTCTGTTTTTTTTGTGTGCCGACGGTGCTGCCAACTCGTGCTACGCAATTAGCTGTAAACTAAAAAGCCAGAAAAATAGCTAATAGGAAATTAATTTACTTTAAGATGAACACATGAGTTTATATATAAGTCGTATAAAAAAATATGCAAATTAATAAAATAATCATTTTAATAAAAATTAATAATGTAAATATTAAATATTTTTCGAACATATTATGCCTTATGTTAATATGTTGTAAAATGTATTTGAAGTTTTTAACGCAAGTAAAACTTAATTGAACCTGTTACGCTGAATTTGTTTAAATAAGAATTTATTTTTATAAAGAAATTGTTCTTGACATAAATTTTATAAATAACGGTTTTGTTATGATAAAAAAGCCAGATAAATACTTTTTCAAATCACCGCACACGTTGGCAGCCCTGTTTGCGATGTAAACAAACTGACAGCCGGGTTGCCAGGTTTCCAGGTTGCCACCGAAATGTGCGTTTAAATATTCTCCCCAATTAGAATCAGTTCAGTTCTCAATTTCTAATACCCGGAAACGGAAACAGATAATTCCCCGAGATGTCCTACCAGAACTGGCTGAACTACCTGCAGTCGGCGGAGAAGAACTCCATGATTAGCGGGAGGGCACGCAAGGTGCTCTATAAGTTTCCGGACGGCAAGCAAATGGCCGAGGAGTACAACATGGACACGGGAATCGTGCAGAGGAGGGCCTGGAAGTCCAAGAGCAACAAGATAATGGGCGAGTCGGACTGGGAAATCGAACTGGGGGAGGAGCCCCGTCAGCTGAATTGGTCGGGAAACAAATCCCAGGGGTCCGGCGACGATGCAGACTCGATTTCTGGAGGGGATTTCACCCTGCGGGAAAGCAACACTGCTCCCCTCCTCACCAAACGGATCACAAAGAAGAACATCGAGTGGCGCATCCGCAACATGCCCTATTCCCTGGACATATACAATGTAACCGCCGATCCCGAAAAGCGCGCCATAATCGTGCGCACCACAAACAAGAAGTACTACAAAGTCATCCCCATTCCGGACCTGGACCGCTGTGGGGTCAAGCCCGCGCAGGAGAGCCTCTCCGTGCACCACCAGTTCAACACCCTGATTATAACCTACCAGAAGCCAGCCATCCTCTGCGAAATGGAGGCCCAGGTCCTGCTCCTACTCAAAAATGTCGAAACCGAAACAGACATGGATGACTTACTCAAGGGTCTGATGGCCAAATAAATGACGTAGATCGTACATGTATATAGCATTTTATTGTTATATTTGAGATGGGTGTGAAGTGAAGCTTCCTATATTTTACCAGTTCTGTTAGGGGTTTGGATTAGTCCATGTGATGACTTATGCAGATGGGTAGCTCCTTAAAAATGTGGATCTCTTAATATATATTTTAGGAGTATCATTAGATTCTATTCCAAAGAGTAATGCCGAACGTTTATATTTATTTTTTATTTTATTTAAATATTAATTTGCACACTTGTGAATAATATTTTTTACTAAATTTTACCTAATTTATGTTTTATTTACTTTAATTTGTTGTGTTCTGATAAGTCATTCCGTGTTAAATCTGAACTACAAACAATCTGTGACACTTTAAATTAACCTTTTAATTTTGAACAAAATCAAGAATAGGTAAACCTAATAGTATAACCTTTTTTAGAGCTTAATTAAATTTGGACTCAAGGGCACAGTGTTTTAAAGAGATCTTCCGAAGTTAAACGAAATTAACCAAAGTCTGTGGTTCTCAAGAGCCTTGAAACCTACAATCCCACTACTATTTCTGGAAACTCTCGGCCATGCCGGCATAACTGGCCAGCGAAGGAGCTGACGAACTGGTGAACAGGCTATAATCGAAGGAGGGCAACTCCAAGGGAGCCAGAGAGGGCAAGTCCAGATCCCCGCTGCCCGTCAGTCGGTGCTCATATGGGTCTCGTCCATCCTCATCCTTGGCAGGGTCGCTCCTCTTCAGCGTCTCCATTTGGGGCTCCGAGTTGGCCAATGAGTTTGGGGCCCTTGCCACCAATGATGAGGTAAACTTGGCATCGAAGTCCTGGACCGTTTTGTCGATCGCCTTAGCCACCGACTGCGCAGATCCTCCAGCTGCACTGGCGCCGTTTTCCGGGCGGAGAGGCAACATGGGACTGGTTTCCTTCAAGGGTGCAAAGTCCTTTAGTTTATTTAAGCCATGCTGGGTTTTCCTCATCTCAATTTGGCGCAGTTTTCGTTGGAAATCCAGGGTCAATGTGTCCAAAACTTCCCTGGATTTGGGCAGAGCCACCCGTTTTTGGGCATCCTGCATGTAAATAAGAGAGGTTTCCAGGGCTTTTATAGCCTCCTCGTAGCGATGATTGCGTATAAAACGCTCCGACCTTCGCTCGTGGAAGTGAGCCTGTGATTATGTAAAATTACTACTTTTATGACTGAGTTAAACGGAATTTTTTATTCTTACCAAATTAAGGGGTGCGCAGTCCATGACTTTTCCCGCTTATCTTTGTTGGATTTCAATAAAAATATATATTATTGTATAATTTAGGCTCCCAGGTAGCCAAATGTTATTAACCTAGTTTTCAAAGGTGCTGTCTTTTGTTTAAAACAATTAAAACACTTGTTCTTGTACAAGAACGCAATTTCCCCCAATTTCTCTTTGGCTTACATATGTTTTATGTGCGAGATGTGGCAACTCGGTTGACAACCCTATCGATAGCTCAAATATATCGCTTTAAAACTATCAAATTCAAATTTAATGTAACATTTATTTTAATAAAGATTTTTGTAAAATGAAAATCATATAAAATATATTTAAGTAGTCAACACCTATTGCCCTTTAAAGGGGTCTTCCCGTGGCCTGCTTACCCTCAGTAAGGGCGACAGAAGCGTGGACAAACACAGGCACATTGATACCCTGTAATATGCCAAATATAAGCTAAGTACGATTATTGTTATTCCGACGATACACAAGACTTACCTGCATTTTAGCTGATCTTACAAAGGCCTTATTCGAAGTCACGGTAAAAATTTGTCTGGCCATGCCAAAACTAAATATTTTCAGACTTCGCTCGTTCACATTGGCAGTGAAACGTATGTGGGAGAATTCCTCGGGTATGGTTTCAACATCCGGAAACACGGTGACCCTTTTCATCAGCTCCTCGGCACGTTTTCTCTCGCCCTCGCCGCCGACAATATCTAAAATACTTTGGAAGGCATCGTAGGCTAGTTGGCAGCAGACCAGGGTCTTTCCCTCAAGGATTTTCTCCAGAAGCGGCTTCAGCGGCGAGGCTCTTTCCCTTTCTGCTTGTTCAGTGAGGAGGGGCTCCTTGTAGACCCAATTGGCCGACCCATTGGTCAGGGCACTTACATAGGCCAGTAAAGTGGTCACATCCAGATTTAATTCATTCGAGGTGGTGTCATACTGATCCAAATCACTGTCGGGTGAGTCCAAAGAAGCTGTTTGCACCCCCATTTCCAGGAGTTCCTCATGCAAAGAGTCCTCTATTTTGTTGGAGAAGTAAAATACTATCTAAAAAGGCAATGATGAACAGACCTTTTCAAGAGATTTTTAAAAAAAAGACTACCTTTGGCCTCTGGAACATGCAGAAACTGAGTTCACTGGCCTCGAGGTAATCCTCCGCCTGGTCCAAAACACTCCGGGCTCCGATGCTCACACATCCCCTGGCGGCATCCTCCACGGATTTAGAGTTTCTGGCTATCACCTTTACCCATTTCAGGCCATTATTGGCCACTATATCGACCCTCAGAGGATTGTCTCTAGATTCCAGTCGGAAAACGGCATTAATATCGACCACTCCTTGTTGCAAGCGGAGAGTTTTGATCAGGAAATCGTAGTAGACGAAGTTACTGCTGGTGATGTGGTGTTCCTTAACGGACTTTGTGGTAATCACCTTGAAGAAAACGTAAACTAGTAAAACTTTCTAGAATTATATAGCAAAGAAGTACCTTATTAAGAAACTTTAGTTCCTGTTGAATTTTTCTCTGCACTTTGCTGACTCCCGGAAGCTCTTCGAAGTCTGTTAACGCCTTTTTCAGTTCCTCGCCCAATTTAACCTTCTTGTAGGCTTCTTCGTAGAGTTTTTCCTGATCCGTCTTCTCCTCCATTTTAGTTCAGCAATATAAACAATAATCACGAAATAAATGTTTTCAACTGTCAGCTGTTAAACAACTACCCTGTTCAGACAGACGGGTTTTAGCATCAGTAACTTATCTCCCATAAGAAATACATCAGCTAAAGAGATGAAAGTCACTACAACTTTGCTTTAGCGGAGAGTGGGACCTCATATAACATTTACTATTGCGTTGAAATCCATTTTATTTTCAGAAAAAACTAGAATTTTGGCGACATCCTGAAGGTTACCTATCGATATCAATACATTTATATGCGTAAGTCTGGCAACGCAGCACGATAACGATAACGATGAACAATTTCTAGAGGTTGGCTATCGATATGGACATACCGATTATTAGTGTGACCGCTTCGAATGAATTAAAATGGCATTTAAAATATATTTCTCAACGGCCTCACTAATTTCTACACATATATTCTTTCACTTTTTTTCGGCGAACAGAACGGATGTGAAAAATGGAGTCGTCTGAGTAACCAGAAAATTCTAATCCGAAGGCATCGCGGGTTAAATGTGCTAAATCACCCATTTAACCGGCAGAAGGTAAACAAATACACCCGATTTCAACTATATTTAGGCGTCTTCCGCACGAAGTATCTCCAGAAATCAGAAATGTCTGTGCTTTGGTCGCATTTGAAGCGTGCTAAATTAAGAAATAAATGCTGCTTACTAGCATCGTTAGGCGACACGACTTCCCATACTGTGGCCATGGTTTTCAAAGTAGTACAAAATAAATGCCCTAAAACAGGGGTGTTTTAGTGACCTTTGTCGGCGACTGTACCTAACCTCAACTGTGCCTTCTACTTGCAGTTCTGGACCAAAGTGAAGAAAGTGTAGAGCTGCACCATGTATCTGTACAATCTGACCCTGCAAAAGGGCACGGGGGTGACCCACGCGGTCCACGGCAACTTCTCCGGCGGCAAGCAGCAGGAGGTTCTCCTGTCACGTGGGAAGTCGCTGGAGCTCCTCCGTCCCGACTCGAATACCGGAAAGGTGCACACCCTCCTCTCCACGGAGATCTTCGGGTGCATCCGCGCCCTGATGGCCTTCCGACTGACTGGCGGAACCAAAGGTGAGATTTGTTCGATATTATCATGTTAATTGGGAGAAACTTTTGCTTAAAGTAGGTTATAATGCTAGTTCTACCACAATCTATAAAACTGGAGCTATCAGTTAGAATCGTGTAGAAAATAGGACTCGTATATTCACATAGTAAAAAAGTATAAAACACTTGTGACCAAAAGGTGATAATTTTGAATTTTAAATGACATCATTTTGTATCTTAAAGCCCCCTAGTGATTCCCACGTTTTTTGTGTCTGTAGACGACTCTATGAATTCTATAAAACCACGTGGGGAATTTTTATTTTATTTTAAGAACAATCTTGAACTCTTTCTTAAAGCGGAGTTATTGAAAACTAGGCAACACCTAAAGCTTCTCTCAGTTAATATATATCCTAATTATAAGAAATTTTCAAAACATTTCCGAGCCGCACAAATCCCTATTGAGGCAACACTTTACTAGTTGACCCCAGTAAGACCTTAAAACGTGTCTAAGTGCGAGAAAAACCGAAAGACTTGGCGTCGCATTTGCCATAAACCAACTCAACGGAATGGCGAATTGAAACTTCGAGTTACAATATTAATTACTTACATATTAAGTATGAAAGAAATAAAATACACTTGTCTAATATGTAGAATTTCCTTATAATTTCCAGACTACATAGTCGCTGGTTCGGACTCCGGTCGCATTGTGATCCTTGAGTATATACCCTCCAAAAATGCTCTCGAGAAGGTGCACCAGGAGACATTTGGAAAGTCGGGATGTCGGCGGATTGTGCCTGGCCAGTATTTCGCCATCGATCCCAAAGGAAGAGCCGTGATGATTGGCGCCGTGGAGAAGCAAAAGCTGGCCTACATCATGAATCGGGACACACAGGCTCGTCTGACGATCTCTTCGCCTCTGGAGGCCCACAAGTCGAACACCCTGACTTATCACATGGTGGGCGTTGACGTGGGCTTCGATAATCCCATGTTTGCCTGCCTGGAGATCGACTACGAGGAGGCTGACATGGATCCATCAGGTAGGCATCGTTGCATTTTATTTTTTACTGGAAGGAGGCGCTTTTATTCACAGTTTTAGTGGAGTTCCCACCACGAACACTGCCTGTACTAAGTGCCAGATAAATCGCGATCACTGAACCATTGGTGTTGCTGTAATTGCCTAGCAACACTTCACTGATTTGTGACCCACACTTCAAAATCCAAGAAATCATTTTTATAGTCAAATATTCTTGTTCTTTGTATTACAAAGATCTTTTATAAGAAATCCTTAGTTTTATATGAATATTTTCAATAGTTCAGTACCGCTATTAATTAATACAATTTGTAAACTTATAACTAACCTATAACCCATCTGTTTATTCCAGGTGACGCCGCCCAGCGCACTCAGCAGACGCTAACCTTCTACGAGTTGGATCTCGGCTTGAACCACGTGGTTCGCAAATACTCGGAGCCCTTGGAAGAGCACGCCAATTTCTTGGTCTCTGTGCCTGGTGGCAATGATGGTCCCTCGGGCGTGCTCATCTGCTCTGAGAACTATCTGACCTACAAGAATCTCGGCGATCAACACGACATCCGTTGTCCCATCCCGCGCAGGAGAAACGATCTGGATGACCCCGAAAGGGGCATGATCTTTATCTGCTCGGCCACACATCGCACCAAGAGCATGTACTTCTTTCTGCTGCAAACCGAGCAGGGAGACATCTTCAAGATCACTCTAGAGACGGACGATGATGTGGTGTCCGAGATCAAGCTGAAGTACTTCGATACAGTGCCTCCGGCAACGGCCATGTGTGTGCTGAAGACCGGTTTCCTGTTCGTGGCCAGCGAGTTTGGCAACCAGTAAGTGTCTACTTCTTTTATTTTTATGGAAGATACTAATTAAAGCTCTTCTTTCACTTTTAGCTACCTCTACCAAATTGCCCACCTGGGTGACGATGATGACGAGCCGGAGTTCAGTTCCGCCATGCCTTTGGAGGAGGGTGAAACCTTCTTCTTTGCGCCACGTGCCCTGAAGAACCTGGTTTTGGTGGACGAACTGCCCTCGTTTGCCCCGATCATCACCTCGCAGGTGGCCGATCTTGCCAACGAGGACACCCCTCAGTTGTACGTCCTTTGCGGCCGAGGGCCTCGTTCCACTCTGCGAGTCCTCCGCCACGGTCTGGAGGTCTCCGAGATGGCCGTGTCTGAGCTGCCCGGTAATCCCAATGCGGTTTGGACTGTGAAAAAACGAGCTGATGGTGAGTGTCCACTCATATAAATCATAATTCCTAAGCTAAGATAAGACTAAGAATGAAACGTGGCTAATAACTCAACTGGTGCATTGATACAGATCGAGATATAGATTACACCTAGCTTTACACACGATTCCAAACAAGTCCCACAAGATATCAACCACCAGTTCTCTCTTATTTCAGGCGCTTAAACACAGACGTCAAATTGTGTGAACTATCGAAAAAGACAAGCGATTTAAGAGAACTTTCTCTCGTTTGTGTAAATTTAAATTGTCTTTTGTGAAGCGATAGGTAAGGCAACATTTACTGCAGCTCATAAGTCAAACAGATACTACTACTACTACCCACAAAAAAAAAAAAAACAGAACATACAAAGCTATATTTAAGCCGGTCGGACATTGAACATGATGCGATATTTATCAACCGTGTTTCAGCTGAATTATCCATTGATTACAACTTGATAAACTGATTATTCAATGTCCCATTTGATAGGCAAATCTCTTTTGCTAGTTGATTTGTTTTCCGAATACTCACCATCAAATTACTATTCTGTTCCCCTACTTTTAGACGAGTTCGATGCCTACATCATCGTGTCCTTCGTGAATGCCACTCTGGTTCTGAGTATTGGCGAGACCGTTGAGGAAGTCACGGACAGTGGTTTCCTGGGCACCACGCCCACACTTTGTTGCGCCGCCCTGGGCGACGATGCCTTGGTCCAGGTGTACCCCGATGGCATTCGGCATATCCGGTCCGATAAGCGTGTGAACGAGTGGAAGGCTCCGGGCAAGAAGTCGATAACCAAGTGTGCCGTTAACCAGCGCCAGGTGGTCATCACCTTGTCGGGCAGGGAGTTGGTCTACTTCGAAATGGATCCGGTAAGCATACTATAATAAATTTAGAAGTTCAGACTATCTTGCTCTGATGACAAAAACACGAAAAGAACAATCATGTTGAGACACTATGTGTCCTGCAGTGCTGAGCTTTAAAAACAATCAAGACCATTGACCTTTAAGCATTATAAAACTAATAAAGATACTTTGTCCTTGCAGACTGGAGAGCTGAACGAGTACACCGAACGCTCTGAAATGCCGGCTGAGATCATGTGCATGGCTCTGGGAACTGTTCCAGAGGGCGAGCAGCGATCGTGGTTCTTGGCCGTTGGTCTGGCGGATAATACCGTGCGCATCTTATCCCTGGATCCCAACAACTGCCTGACTCCCTGCTCCATGCAAGCGTTGCCTTCGCCAGCCGAATCCCTTTGCTTGGTCGAAATGGGTCACACGGAGAGTACGACTCAAGGAGCCTTGGATGAGGATGCTCCCGCCCAGCGAAGTGGCAACAACAAGGGAACCATTTATCTAAACATTGGCCTGAGCAACGGTGTTCTGCTGAGGACTGTTTTGGATCCTGTTTCTGGAGATTTAGCAGATACTAGAACACGTTATCTAGGTTCCCGTCCTGTGAAACTCTTCCGGATCAAGATGCAGGGCGCAGAAGCTGTTCTGGCCATGTCCAGCAGAACCTGGTTGTCGTACTACCACCAAAACCGATTTCATCTGACGCCTCTGTCCTACGAAACCCTGGAGTATGCTTCCGGTTTCTCCAGTGAACAGTGCAGCGAAGGTATTGTGGCCATATCCACCAACACCTTAAGGATCTTGGCGTTGGAAAAGCTGGGAGCGGTATTCAATCAAGTGGCATTCCCCCTGCAGTACACTCCCCGGACCTTTGTTATCCACCCGGACACGGGTCGCATGCTGATTGCAGAAACTGATCACAATGCCTACACAGAGGATACGAAAACCGCTCGAAAGGAGCAGATGGCCGAGGAGATGCGCAGTGCGGCGGGCGACGAGGAGAGGGAGTTGGCCCGCGAAATGGCCAATGCATTCATCAGCGAAGTCCTTCCTGAGGATGTGTTCTCGTCACCCAAAGCCGGATTGGGTTTGTGGGCATCGCAAATCCGTTGTCTGGACGCCATGCACGGCCAGACGATGTTCAGTGTGCCGCTCACCCAAAACGAGGCCATCATGTCTATGGCCATGCTGAAGTTCTCCATAGCTGCAGATGGTCGGTACTACCTAGCTGTGGGAATCGCCAAGGATCTGCAGCTGAATCCCAGGATTTCGCAAGGTGGCTGCATAGATATCTACAAAATCGATCCCACCTGCTCTAGCCTGGAGTTCATGCATCGCACGGAGATCGATGAGATTCCGGGAGCCCTGTGTGGCTTCCAGGGTCGTTTGCTGGCTGGCTGCGGACGAATGTTGAGGATCTATGATTACGGCAAGAAGAAAATGCTGCGCAAGTGCGAGAACAAACACATTCCCTACCAGATTGTCAATATCCAAGCCATGGGTCATCGGGTTTACGTTTCGGATGTCCAGGAATCTGTATTTTTTATACGCTACCGTCGCGCGGAGAATCAATTGATCATTTTCGCCGATGACACTCATCCCCGGTGGGTGACAGCCACTACTCTGCTGGATTACGATACCATAGCCATTGCTGATAAGTTTGGTAACCTGAGCATTCAGAGACTGCCTCACTCGGTGACTGATGATGTGGATGAGGATCCCACAGGCACTAAATCTCTATGGGATCGTGGCTTGTTGTCTGGTGCTTCTCAGAAGTCGGAGAACATTTGCTCCTTCCATGTGGGCGAGATCATCATGTCGCTCCAGAAAGCAACTCTTATTCCTGGAGGATCCGAGGCCCTTATATACGCCACATTGAGTGGGACTGTTGGAGCATTTGTTCCATTTACAAGTCGCGAGGATTACGACTTCTTCCAGCACTTGGAGATGCACATGCGCAATGAGAATCCCCCACTTTGTGGACGCGATCATCTCAGTTATAGGAGCTCGTATTATCCGGTGAAAAATGTTCTGGATGGCGATCTCTGCGAGCAGTATCTGTCCATTGAAGCAGCCAAACAGAAAAGTATCGCCGGGGACATGTTCCGCACTCCCAATCAGATCTGCAAGAAGCTGGAGGACATACGCACGCGCTATGCCTTCTAAGGTGAGTTGAAGTCGAGAATCTAAAGAAGTCTGTTAAGTTTTTGTGATGACATAGCTATTTTACCTTGGGACACCTATGAAATACCTTGATTAGCGTAAATTTCAATTACTGATAAAACTTTAAAAATAAGTTATTGTTATTATTATTTTACAAAAAACTAATTTCAAATCCCTATATTTTTCAGATCCAGCCAGAGAAAAAAGATGCTCAATGCTATCCTTTTTGGATTAGGTAAGTTGGTTTTTGTCGTAAAATGAACTGCACCTTAAAAAAAAATAAAACAAAAGAATTTTTATTAATTTAAAATTTTTAAATGATGATTTACGATTTACCTTGGGACACCTATGAAAAAACTTGATTAGTGTAAAGTTATTTTTTCTGATAAAAAATTTATTAAAACCCTCATTAATTAATATGAAAAGCAAGTTTTTAATCGTTTTTTTCTATTCTTACAGTTCAAACTGACAAAATCGCCAAATGCTGCCCGCACAACATTTTTAAGGTAGGAATAAAAACGATATTAATGTATTTCCTTTTTTTTTTAGAAATACAATGATGTTATTTACATATGTTAGACTAATGAAATGATTTGATTGTAAATTAGTAACTGAGAAGATTTACAAGATAACTATTTGTTTGTGATTTCTTAGAAATTTATAAACTTTTAATTAAACAAACATTATTTAATTGTTTGCAGATGCATCTGGAAAATTTCAATGACTTAACATTAGGACCGTTTTCAAGGTAAGAAATATAAAAAACACAAAAAAATACATCACTAGCATACTCAATGATGTTATTTACATATGTTAGACTAATGAAATGATTTGATTGTAAATTAGTAACTGAGCTAAAAAACGTATTTAAGGATTGCTAAAAAATGTTTAAAGCTTTAAATTAATGTGCAATATCTTCTGTTCCATTTCAGATCTTATGTTGGGGTATGTGGCGCATAATTTAAAATAAATCATACATTAGGTAAGTTGTTATTTAAAACCCCCGCATTAAATTAAAACTAATTCGTATGTTCTTTCTCTTTCAGTTTGTACATCTATACTTACTAATTGAACATTGAATCACCAATCAACCACTAATCGACTGCCGCCTATTTATATTAGCATAAGCGTTGCAAATTCTACATTTTGCACAACCTAAATATAATCATCGTAGTGTAAGCAATTTCTAAATAAAAATAATTAAACGAACTGAGGAATGCGAGGTGATTTGTTGTCGGGTTTTCTGCGAAGACGAGACCATTTTGCATAATTCCAGCTGATGTTCGCCTGTCTGTTGCGGCCTTATTATGGCCATTACCATGTGTCTTGGTTATTGTATCTCGGCCTTGTTTGCACTGCTCTTCATTTTCCCGGCTCGCAGAGTCCCGTTATGGGACGGCAGATATTTGCTAAACGCCTCGTTTTCCATCCGCCCGGTATGTACGCAAAATCGTTGTAATTTGTTATGTTTGCGGCATAAGCACAGTAGTTATGCAAATTGTCTGGCGGCCCGGTGGTCGGATCACTTTGCCAAGCGGGGCAAGTGCACCAGTGCTGGACGGTTGCCTCGATGGTAGCTTAAATCTTAAAAAATCTTGTATTTTGATTAAGGTGGCCTTCTCTTATACAATTGTAGAATTAAAATTTAAAAATATAGTTAAATCTTAAATTCAAATTTGTTTTATCTAAAGAAATTTGTATAACTTTTTTAAAATCTGTTCCCTAAGGTCCAGTTATGGTCTTAAAAGTAAATGTTTGGGTATTTTCCTAAAATTAAAATTAATTACCTGTTTACTCCCAAATTTTTAAATATACATACGTTGTATAAAGTATATATTAAATTTACATTGTTCGAAATACGAAGATCCGACATCTCTGATGTTCCGATGTCTCGGTCTAGAGGAATCCGCAGAAGCAGCCAAGCAGCCTCTTTTCCGCTCTCGAAAAAGAGCTGTGTGCCATCTGGTTAAACGATTTATTAACTTCATTTCTAGATCATTAGATCGCATAACACGGACATTCATCACTTGGCACTGGTTTTTCTCGGTTTTGCTGTTTTTTCTTGGTTGTTTTTGCCAGACTGGCACGCAAGTGCAATCTGCGATCTCTAGGAGGCATCTACGCATGCAGTTCGCGCCGCCTTTTCTGCTCAGTTCCCCTGGCCAAAGCGATCTGTGCCTTCGATAAGGACAATCAACGCTTGGCGCAAACACTTGGCATCCCCAGACCAAAAAATAAAGGAACAAGAAAACAACCTGCCCTGCAACACCTGCCACGCCCCTTTCTGCGGCGCCTTGGAGCAGTTGCCATTTCTGGGATTTCTGGGCGCGTTGGGGATACGAGGATTTGAAGACATGGGGCTGTGGAGATGAGCAGATGCCCAGCTGGAGATAAGACAAAGGCGTCCCCAGTCTGCGAATCTTCAGAGTGATGTTAGGTTGGCTGTTTATCCGTCGAAATGGGGACTGTTCTTGCTAGGTAGTTATACTATAATTCTACATCTTTCAAGTTCATAAAAATCTAAAAAGAGAACAATAAGATACATTCTTTTAAGATAGTTGGATATTAATGTTGTTTTAGGTATTGACATAAAAAATAAAATGTTGAAGGTGTTATTTTGTTTAAGATATTTAAATAATTAAAGAGCTTTCTTAATATTTGTATAATAATTATAAAACTTCTATAAAATATTATTACTATTATTGCTAAGTAAGTAAGTCTCTGACTTAGTTCGGTGGCCTCACCATCACTGATCCTTTGTTGTGGGGCGTGAATTTGGACCGCGCGCATTCGTCGATATCAGAGCTTGGTGATCGCAATCTCCTTTGCAAGATCGCGGATTCGGATTCCCATTTGCAGCGTCCCGGTTCCGCAGATGCTTATCATCTCAAATGCCTTGCGTGATAAAATTTCGCACGAAATGCCCCACGATCTGGGGACTTTTTTAAAGCAATGGGTGTTAACGCTGCAACTTTTCAGCTGTCCGCCGCTTGCGTGTAAGAATTTCCAGCGAAATTCTGCCGGACACGCCGAGATTTTAATCAGATGTCTGGACCGGAGTCTGGATGGCGAAGTGGATAGTGGATACTGCATACTGGACACTGGATAGAACAGAAAGAGAACCAGCTAGGCCGACACTTTCCCTGTGTACGAACTGCGAATTAAATGCCCATTCGCCAGTCACGTCTTTTCACAGTTAGCAACTTTATTAAAACTAACGGGCATGGCAAATAATTAAAACGCAGCGGAAAATTGCAAATTGCCTGCCGTGTAATAAATAGAATCATCAGAGTGGCTGGCGGATCCCAAGGGGAGTTCCTGAGACAGACCCGGCCTCATCAGCATCGCCAACAACATCATCATCATCAGCGAAAGGCAGCAGCGGCAGCATTATTTTAATTCACTTAGCATCGCTGACGTTGGTTTTGGTAGCACGCGAAAAAATAGGCGACTTTTGTGGCCAATAGCTTATGGGTTAGTCTTTAATAACACAGGAGCGCGAATTCTTCAGAGCCAGAGGAGCCAGCAAATCAATAAACGAATTGCAGGACCGCAAATTCTTTAGAAAAAGAAAAAATTTATAATTTTTGCTTGCTATTTTTATTGTTTCCAGTCTGTATAAAAATAGTTGGTCTTTCAGATTCTGTAGAAATAAAGCAACATATATGTTAGTCCAAAAGGCGCTTTTTTTCTCAGTGCCTGTCTTCGGGCCCGCTTTTCTCTCTCTGGCCTTAGCGCAGACATGTGAGCTTAAGCTGGGGCTTTGAAGACTGAATCTGAAGCTAAGACTCCGACTTAGCCGGTTGCTGGCAGCTCGACAAACCAATTATAAAGCGTAGAGTTTGATGTGCACGTGTTGGGAGAGATTGCGATTGGGAGAGGCTGTGATCGCGATCTCTAACCCGCGGCGGGTATATCCAATATGTATATCGGCCAGCGGCCAATTAATGTACGATAAGAACTGAGCAGGCGAATTAGCTGTAATCTGAGATCAACGGAGGAAAAGTAGGTGAAAGATGGTGAATGTTGAGATAAAAAGTAAGTGGATCAGAAGTAATTTCAAAAGCGAACTTATGAAGCTTACAACTTTACAGAAATTACTGTAGTTAAAGTAAATAATCTAAGGCAATTTAATAAAAAAAATTTGAATTATCTTTCCGTTAACTAAATCTGGAATTTATTTGATATTCAACTTGATTTGGACTTAAATATTTTTCCTTATAATTTGTAGGATAATCTTAGAGAATTATATACAATTAGATACTATATAAGATGTGTGATATTCTTTGGGTTTCTTAGCTAAACCCTGATTTAGCTATAGTTTCCCTTGGTAGTGTCATTATCTAGTCGGATATGTCTACCTGATCGCTTGCAACATATAAACTGCTGACTGTCAAGGGGGGAAAACGAGGTGGGTTTGCGAAGGGGCAGAGTGACACTCACATGCGGCAGAGCCCCAAGTCCACAAGTCCACAACTGTTGATTGCTGTCAGCAATCTTTCCCCATGATTCAAAACTCGTCGTCGCTGCTTTTTGCTTTTTGCGGCTTTTTGTGGTTCTTGGGACTGGGACCTGACCCCATTCAATGTCATTAACTCGGCCCAAGGTCTGTTTGTTTTTGAGGCTAGCCCCAAAGACTCTGGCAATTTCGCATAATTGGCTGAAAATTATGAAATGCTACGGGGGTCCAATCGCAGTCTCCTCGTTGCGGTGGTATCTTCATTTCATTCGAAGCCTTCTGAACTCCAGTGAACTCTCTCCTGCAGCCTGCACTTGGAGAAAATTCTGTCAAGTACTGATTATTCGTTAGCAAAATATCTTAAGAAATATTTTACAGGTATTTTATATGACGATAAGTATTTGTTATTCTTATCTTGGTCTTTTCAATTTATTTATTTAAATAAACTTAACAAAATAATCCGACTTTTCTACTCAGTAACCACATATTATTCCCCTATCTAGAATTCTTTCAGTGACTATTCTTTGCCCAGCTTGTCAGCGGCTCATCGTTCCGTCGAGTCCAACTGTTCGCCCCCGGGCCAAAAAACATCTTCATGGGATCGGACTCAACTGCTCCACTTCCTTTCACCGACGATCTCAACTGTAAACGTTCCAGTCACTTAGTCAACAATCTGTTGCATCTAATTGTCTTTGCAACAAATTACTCAATTCCAGTTGGATGCTGAAAGGAGATTCGGATTCCGATTCAGATGCAGATGCAGATGGACAACGAGAACCAGAACGAGATCCCAACGACGACCGGCTGGTCAACAGGTTTGACATAATTTTCACTTTAGTTTGTTTTAAAAGCACAAATTTGCACGCAGCTGAAGGATGCCGATCCCCAAGAAGTGATCACTACGAGGACGATAATGATAATGATGATGGCGCTGCGTCGAGTAACTCAATCGCAAAATCCCACATGGACTCCGATTCCATCTCCTCGATGAGTCAAACCTGCACTTTAGTGGGCGTGGCGCACTTCCGCAAGTAATTTGCTGCGGTTTTGGTGGGGACCGGGGTGGTGGTCTTATAATGGAACATTTTAATGCTGAAACCGATGCTTAAAATCAAAGTCATAAAGAAAAGAACCCAGCTAAAAGTGCGAAACAGTGGGGTGAAATGAACATTTGTTGTACAAAAATGGAATCTGTTTATTACTTAGAAACATAAAGTTGAAAATATTATTAATGGGGTAACCAATTTGTTCTTAAATACTTACAGGTTTTGTTTTTAATGATCGAAGGTTAAAATCTTAGAATTTCTTGACACATCAGTACAGCCAATACTATTAATATAACTTTAATAGTAAATATATTAAAAATAAGTTAACTAATAACAACCAAAATATTTTTGTTCCCAACTCATGAGTTCTATATAAATTTCGAGAACTTATTGGCGCCTTCAGTTCCATTGTATGGCGATTATGGGGACAATAATGGTGCTGTCGAGAGCGCAGTTGCCACAGTCGCAAGATAAATACATAAAGCAACCCGATCAGTCGCACACGGAGATCATCAACACAGAACACGAAACATGGCCCAGATGGATCCGATGGAACCGACGTATCCGATGGATGGTTAATGGAGGAGGGTAAAAACTTGCCAACGGAGACACGTCAACAATGAGGCATAAAAACGGGAGCACAGTCGCATGCAACATAATTGAAAGCAATTTGTGGTCCTGAATCAGAATCTGAATCTGGTCCG